CGCGCTCGCCTTAGATTCATGGCATGTACATCTTTGTGCCTGTGTGGCCCTGTCGCTCTTGGGCCAGCTCTGTCGCTGAGATGATTCTTTTTCAGCCTTTTATGGCCTCTTGGCGATTTTCTTTTCGGGACTTTGGGTGTATATTTCAAAAACAAGGGTCTTAGTGAGTCGTCTGACTCGTCAACGGATGTTGTGTGCAAGATGCTTTCTACGCTATGGAAGTTTAGGAATAGAATAAAAAGGAGATGAGCAAAGGGTGTATTTGCTGTTGTTTGCATCAAGTGATGCCAGTAGTTTTCTTTTCCCCGTCGTGGAAGTGTTCCTTCTGAAGCTCGTCTTACGTTTCAAATCTTCTCTTGACTGGCGACTGCGGCGGCAGCGGCACCAGCAAGAGTATGAAAAATAGCAGCGTGTGTACTAGGAAAGAAGCTTTCGAGCGATACTGGCTTGTTTGTTTTACTACAGTAAGAGTCAATGGACGTTGAAATAGGACAGGTACAATTAAGAAAAGCCAGTGGAGTCAGCCGCGTGACCTGAATGAAGAACACATGGAACAAACGCAGCACTATCACCAGCTAAAACTGTGAATGAAAAAGGTGGAATACTCAAGAATGAAAACCTGCGACGTCAGCAATCGAGGAATGGTCTGTTAAACCGAGCAAGCCACTGTGCTCCGAGCAAGAATGCTATTGAATTAAACTTCTGCACACACAAAGACTATGAAACGCGTCTTTGAAGGAATATACAGCCTATGGGTGTGAAGGTAGGACAAACGACAAGATCCCCCGATAAAACAAGAGGAGGTCAGCAAAGCGAAAGTAGCAAATGAGCACAACGAACTAGCAGAGAAGCCAAGTCGGCAACACTAATGAAGCGGAACACGGGAGCAGCCAGCTTGACATGCCACGACCGAAGGCATCTGCGGAGCAACATAGCGGTCAATTGGAGAGGTGAGTGTCAGATGTGACGGCGGAGGAGGCAGCAGCAGTCCTGAGTCAACCCTGTAAGCGGTTGAAGTCACACGCGAGATGGAAGGCCAATTTACAAACAGACACGCACTTTCGGCACGCATGCGCGAGCATGGACTGTTTCAGTGGCTTCACGCAGGAGTTGCTTCTCATAGTGGTTCTATCTGCATGCCGTGAAGAGGTTGCTTCTGATAATGGCTCTATCTGCTTTGAACACTAACGCTTCCCTGTAGCTCTGTCAAAGCGAGCAGAGAGGATTACTGGTGCACTTCAGGCACACAGGCAGGCCGTCAAGCAAGCAACACTGAAGTGCTGCGCTTGTCAGGAACAACAATGAAACGCGTATAATAGGTAGTGGAGTAGGACCGATAGTGCTTTATTGTGGTCATAAAGGTGGCGCACTCAGCGCCCTTGCTTTAAGCCGGTGCACAGGCGCATAGTGGAACTGAAACACTGTAAGACGTAATTGGAGTTACAAAATCTGCCCTTACTCTTTTATTAAATACTCGAAGGTCCAAAATTCCGGAAAAACCCTACTTCGATACTGACTCCTTGTCAACGCGTTCCTCTTACGCAATTGGTCCAGAGATGCCCAGTGAACACTAAACAAACCTAATTTTCAAAGAAGAGGATGCATTCATGACTTTTTACATATGATAAAATTAATGGCCGGCCTTAAAGCTAGTTTCATATGCCGGGACTGGGTATATGAACCTGACCAGCCTGCTGGATCTCTCAAGTTGACCGTAGCAGCTACAATGGCGCCTAGAAGATCCAGCGGGCTGGTCTTCCACGCTGAAGCGTCGGCACTTTTTAAAATTAAATTTACTCGTCTAAAATAGATTGATTTTCTCGAAAGTACTAAAATTCACCTATTTTTAGTGATACTTTGAAGGGTCGTCTGGTCGCAGGGCATTCCTCGCCCGTGCTGTGGAACCAACGAGGCTCTACAGGCGCTCCCATTTTTTCATTTTCCCTTCCCTGTTCACTGCCAGATATTTTATCTCCTCACTTTACTTATTTGCTACTCCTTTTGCTTGTTTGCAAGTTTCCCGTGGTGGAGTTTTCTAAATATGATCTAGGTGATCGAGGGGTCAAAGAAGAACCCCATGAACACCACGAAACTCTAGTATGCTTTTCCCTTTTGTTTTTTTGGCTTTTTAGATGATGCCCACTTTTGCGGGCCTGTTCAGCCTGTGGCTCCTACTGTTTCCGGGGTTACGACTTGAGGGTGTCCTCTGTAAAGACGGAGCTATAAGCCAGGCTCAGAAGGATGCGGACGCACCCACTTCGGACTCTGCAAATCCTCAGCGCGGAGTCAAAAAAAGCTTCATAGGAAACTTTGAGGATATTACTCCTGGCGAAGCGACGGCAAGGCCTCATAAGCCCAGCTTCATTGGGCCGGACGTTGAGGCCATTGGCAGCGGGAAAGACGAAACCACTATCAGCAGAAGCACCACCACCACGACGACCACCAGCACGACCAAAACTACAAGTACGACAAAGACGTCCACAGCTACCAAGGCTCCCACAAAATCATCACCTAATCTGTATGTGGAGGCCCTAAGAGCGAAAGGTCCCTTCAGTAGTTTCGAGCCTTGGGAAGCGGACAATTACCTTGACTTATTAGACCCCTTGCTCAGCTTTTCTACAACAACCACAACAACGTCAACGACGACGACGACGACGACAACAACAACAACAACAACAACAACAACCACAGCGACGCCAGGCGTTCCCGTGGATAGAAGCTACCCCACCGAAATTGTTGAAGTTGGCAAGCCGTTTCAAGAAGAACTGGAGCGCTGCAGATCTACCCTGCCAATAAGTGTAGTTTCACATGGAGAAACTAAATTTCTGTTGAGAGGTGGCTGGAATGTACAAGTGGGAGAAGGAGGGAAGACACTGCATTACTATGCAGTGTCAGACGACCTGCGGCCTCCTCCACGGGGGTTAGTTGGAAAACTCTGGAGGGCTTTCCGGAGAAAGATCAGCATACCATATGAGTTCTTCAGGACTGTTTTGCCCATGCCGCAAGGCTGTTTTTACGCTCCAGGTGATGTTGGGACTGGCGCGGCCGCCATCGGAGATCAGGAAAAAGTCGCAAGCATTCGTGTGCGACTGTCTCCCGAGATCTTTGTCACCTTCGGAGTCTCCTCTGTGCCACCACCTGTTACTCCTGTTCACGCCGAATTCGGAAGGGGAAAATTCTTGGCCGTCGGAGAATGCCTTTTCGCCATGGAGGTTATTAGGCCTGTGACAGCGGAAAGTCTGGTGCTGAGGGCTTCAGGGCTAAGAGCAGTTGTAGAGTCTGTAGGCCAGAATGGGAACTCCAGGTTTCCAATTCAGAATTTTGAAATCCCTTGCACGTGTCGTCCTCAGCGAATGGGCCTGGTCAGCTGGTGGGTGGGCAAGGGCCCCAAAGGCTTCCCTTACGTGCTATTCCACGTGGGTTATGATGGGGACAGCAGGCCCGATGCGTGCAGCAAACAGAAAATTAAGAAAGTGCCTCTTGAGGAGCTAGATAAACAAGTTGTGTACAAAGACACACCCTTTTATAAAATCGAGTAGCGGAAAGGACGGCCGCACCGCAGGTCTTCACCGCGAATGCGAATCGATGAGCACCTTTGCCTGGGCCTGGCCCAGAGGGCATGATTCTTCCGGTCCACTGGCTGTACGAAGACGAGCAACTACACTCAGCATAGAGCAAGTTAGGCTGTATTGCCGAAGGCGGATTGATAAGTGCAGCGAAGGTTGTGGCTGCTGGTTACAGACAAGAGCAAAAAGTAATTCTGTGCCAGTGCCTTTCTCACTTGTGATGGCAGGGCATCAGAACTATACACATATGTGACCTGGTAAATCGTGCGCAGATGGCGCTCGTTAGCTAACTTCGTTCTATCCTTCGCACAATCCAAGGCGAAAGACTATCGAATCCATAGCTTTGCTCTCGTGCCGGTGTCATGAAGATTTTGCGCTCAAGTAAGTAAAACGTTGTGCCCAAGCGGGAGTTTTCAAACACTCATGGTGCGACGAAGAGTGTCAGATGGGCAGAGGCCCCCAGAAGGCTTCTCGTGCTGGTGGCTCCTACCTGCTGCAGTTGACATAGTACACTTTTAAGTGTGGGATCACTATCTAAGATGGAGAAGCTTTACCTAGTTAAAGGTGTTTTACTGAATCTAAACGTACACAAGGACTGCGGGGAGCATGACCGGAGTCGCGCGCCACCGAAAGGGGCAAAGGCTGCACCCTAGAGGTAACAGGGTTTGAGGGACGAAGACAAGAGGCCCAGCACGGAAAAGACTGCCTGAAAAGCCCCTGAGCAACCCAAAGATGCCAGGTGCCCCTCATGCTACGCTCGAGCTACTAGTAGTAGGCCTTGCCACGTGGATGACGGGACTCACTGGTGTGCGCACACAGCAGCGGGGTTAAGGCCACGCAGCTTTGTTTTTTGTTATGACAGAGACAATTACTCTTCGTGACTCATATGCTCTAACATTGCGGGCCGATGCAGACACCGTATGCTGAGGTGAAGGCCTCTAGTTCCGTTGTTACAAACCTTATTTGACGTCATTCGCTCAATTCGAGAGCCACCTGCAGGGCGTTGCTGAATACCGCCTGGTTTGCGGCTTTTTTCAACGACTTTTCTTAATTTTCTTAATTTCATTACTGTTGCCAGCTGCTGTCCTTCGCGGCTGTTAGTAACACTTAAGATCAAGGGGCCAATGCGGCACAAAAGCCTGACCTTCAAATTCAGTCTCACTACTTTTGCAGCAGGTCCACATAATGCCGTCAGCCGTCAGTCTTACACAGTAAGTAAATTGCGGAGATATTTTAATGCGGAAGACGTTTCAAACAGCACAGCCTAGCAGCTAATGAACGTTCTGCAGAATGAATAAGTAGACAGGCAAACATTCCATGAACAATTGGGAGCACAGACGAGACGCTAGTGGCAATTGAAAAGACACAAAAAATGGTTTGTTTGCAAACGTCGATCCGGAGTAGTGCTTATCCTGTTGGTGCGGTCTGAAGTGTTCACACGCTTGGGAGAGCGGGATGCTTTTTGCTATCGTTAGTCGCGATCCCACGCTGTATCTCTGCTCCCGCGCTCGTGCCCACCGCAGCAGTCACACACGGTGCGACCCCTGGAGTCAATTTAAAGACTGACGCTGAGTACGGCGCCCCCTCAAGGATAGATTTTAGAGCCCGCAAATCAGTATCGATGTACATCAGCAGGTCTGAAACCGAAGCGGGAAGGCTGTGAACATCACCCGTACAAATACGACCCGACGTAGCTTCCTAAAACGCTGCACAGCAGCAGGGACAGCAGCAAAGCATTACGTTAAACAGCATCGGCGGTAGCCTAAATGGATTTTGTAGGCTACGGGAACATTAACCATAAACAGCTTACTCATTGCACTCCTCAGCCACAAAGGCAAGGGCTTGGCGCATTGCATCGATGTGACTGCCCAGCAAGCCCGCTGCGGACGGATCCTCCCTGCAGCAGCAATTATAACAGAACCCGTAACGACTGTAGCACAGACAGCAGGTCCCAACTCAGCAGTGCCCACAAGCGCTGCACACGTCTGTGTCAACAGCCGCCAGTGCTCGCGCCGCTGCTTACGAGTGGTCAGCTGCAGCCACAGATTCACGAGTTCTCGCAAAAGTGCTCTCCAGCGGTGCGTCTTTCCTCTTGAGGGGCTCGCGTTGCAGCTGCTCTGGCTGTACGTGAGACTGCAGCTGCGGGGTGTTGATGACGGTAGGGGTAAGAGGCGGCGGCTGCTGGATGAACCGCGGAGCGCCTTTAGAGCTCCTCATTGCCCCCGTCTGGACCGGACTGGTATTGTTGCCCCTGCTTTTTCTGCTGCTGTTGCTGCTGCTGCTACTGCGGGGGTCACCAGAGGCAACAGCAGATGTTGGAGTGCCTCCTCTCCGCACAGCCAGAGACAAAGCGACTATGCACTGCACTGACTCTATGGGGGGGAATTTCAACAGACGGCGCAAACAGCTGCTGAGGTCACTTTCCAACAAATGCTGGCGAATAAACTTCAACATCGCAACAGCGAAGTAATCAACCAGAGGCAGTCGCTCAGAAGCTGCAGCAGCAAACTCCTGTGGGGTACGCGCTGATACTGTGGATTTTGCTGCAGCTGCAGGTGGCGCTGCAGCTGGCGAGCTTGCTGGTGTCGCTTGCTGCTTGGTGGAGAGCCAACTATCTGACAAAAGGGCATCCCATATAAGTAAAGTGTCTTCAATATGAAATTCCCGAGAAAATAGAAGACGCAGCCACCGCAGCAAGAAGAGCTGAGGCTCCACTCCAAGCCCTTCTAGGTGTAAGTACACTGCAGGATCGGCCTTAGCTAACAATGAATTGAACACCCTGCTGCACCTAAGCAACACTGCAGACTGCCCTGTGGTCCTCGAAGGCATCGGGGGGCCTCCCCCAAGAGCCCCGAGGAGGCTGTCCTTGACCTCAGCAGGTGCCGGCTCCTTCTGGGGAGGCAGATACATGGAGCGCAAGCAGCAGCCAGTCATCAAGCCATCAAACAGGCGAAATGCATCCGCTTCTATATGTGCTGGATCTGCTGAAAATATGACAGAAAACGGCGAGTCAGTATCCCCTAATGGTGACGAAGGGACGGCTTCGCGAGCGCATGCAAGATACAGCACAGCCAGCACCTCATTCATGCCTTGTTTGTAAGACACGTCGGTGTTGCTCTTAGCCCAGGCAAAGAGGACCCTTTGCAATGACCGTCGTGTCACCTCCCGGTTGAAGATTTGCCTCTCAGGGTATGTACGTTCTATGTCGCGCCAGATCTCCTCCTGCAGCTCCTCATCAGCCTGTTTCTGGCTCCAGGGATTTCCAGCCGTAGCAGCAAGGGGGTGGAACCTCTGCGGGTCTAGTGCGGCTAGCTGGCTAGCTGAAAGCTGCTGCTGGCGCCGAAGAGACTCGTACTGCTGCCGCTGCTCTTTCACCTGCTCAGCCCACTCCTCCAGTGTATCTCCACTTAGCAGTCCAAGTAGCCTGGCCCAATGCAGCCTCCTAAGAAAAGGGACTACCAAGCGTTCCCCTTGAGCAGGCGTCCCCGAAGAATCGCCAGCTACGGCAGCTTCGAGCTGTCGCTGTAGGCGAACGATGTCTAACTGCTGCCTGTCTACTGCGTCGCCGTACAAAACATGCTCGGCCAGTGTTTTGAGGGGAAAGTTCGCCGTCGAGCGCTCTACTGCCCGCGAAAGGGCCGGCAGCACCTCGGGAGTAAGCTGCAGCAGCCCGACCTCCTCTTCAGGGGCGGTGTCGTCCATGGTTAAGGCTAGCAGGTGAATTTGTCACTCCCTGGTTGTGGATAACTCTTAGACACAATGCAGCCGAAGATGGTAATAGGAAAAATTCCTGGCCCAAAGCGCTGGGGCCGCCTGCCGTGCCCTGTAGCAGCTCGTTTTGAACCAGTAGAACCCTTCTCAAGACACAAATCAGACTCAGGGAAATGCAAACAACACAACACGCGATAGATGGCTCATGTGGAAATGACTCAAGCTGTCAATGAAACGCCTGAGGTGTACACATATTGAAGCGCATGCAGACGGCGAGGCGTTGATTAAAGGCGACAAGAAAAACGCCCGTATTCGTAGCTCAGCGTGCCGAGCTCACGGAATAATTCGAGCCCTACGTAGCCACAGAAGCTGAAAATGAGCAGAGCTCGCCTCAGTTTGGCTCTGGCTGCTGAAGAAGAGGACTTGAGCGACCAGCGCAACCGCGGCGGGTCAACTCTGTATATCCGACCCTGGTTACCCTTGACAAAATTTTCGCCACTTTCATAACTCGTGCAGCGAATTTACACGCAAAAGGGTTGCTAACTGCGGCCCGCGCTGGGCCTTCCTACAACAATGGTGGCAGCGGTCGCTAGAAGGCCACGAGCGTGCATGCTGTGCAGCTGCCTCAGTACCAGAAATTGTTATAAGCAAATGAAGAGGCCAATGCGCGGTATTTCTCTCATGAATTTTGAAGATGAGCCATTCACAATCACTCACGTACACACTCTGATGTAGTATGCTCGCAGTAGATGCTGCCATTGCTCCATGACGTCTTCGCTCAGGAAACTTTTAGTCCTAAGTCACGTCTTCCACAAAAATTATGTACTTGCTGATTTTATGGTCAAGACGACATAAACACTGACACGTGAACCCCGCCTCGTACTCGCTTTATTGCGCATTTGGTTGTGCACTGCCCACGTAAGCCGCCGAAGCTGTGGAGAATGTGATGTCTTGAATAACGAAACACATATTCAAATTTTTTCCATTAGCGTGTCAGGGCCTACTCTACTCATCGAAACGGCACGTAGCCCATGCATCTATAAACATGAGTGGCCTGTTGCGAGACTGCAGGAGGGAATATTGCTATGAAGGCTGATTCATGGCGGTGAAATATCGCCTACGCTGCAAACGGCCATTTGAGATTAGAGATGCCTCAAATGAGTGTCTTATTATAAGTAGCTAGACGATTCGTGGTACTGTTACTAACTGCCGCACTTTCATGGCTCCCGAATTTGCGAACAGCCGGAGGGACGGAGTCCTGCGGGGATAAGGTTTAGTCTGCTCTGCAGTAAGGCCCATGGCTTTTGGCTGGCAAGAAGAACTACCAATTGAGTGCCCAACACGGCACCGGGGGAAAAGTGCAGGGGAGATACCATTGATGCCCTTGGCAAGTTGGATTTCCAAGGAATGTCGTTTGGACCCCGATACTATACCTTTGGTGCGTAATGATAAGTTTGAACCTATCTGGGCAGAACACGAGAGAAGTGTAATAGCCAAGCTCAGCTCAGCTCACTAGATCAGCAGTGCAACAAGCGTTGGCCAGCCAGTTTCTCAACAAGAAAAGGTTGATCCTTGAGGCTGCATGTCTTGATGGCAGTTCCGTTTAAGTGGTTGCCAAAGAATGCCCTAATACGGTACTTTTGTGCTGCGAGAGGCCGGATTCCAGGCAGGTTCCAAAGCAATTTTACTGGTAATTTCTGGCGGCTTTAGTTCGACAATTTCAAGGGGAAAAGTGGAAGGCTAAATTTTTGCATAGCAAAGGAACCACCAGGATCTAATATTAAGTTGATTCGTCCAAGGCCTTAGCACTACAATGCAACAAGCGGAAAGCAGGCAGACCCTTCAGAAAAGGGATGCGGGTGGAGCGAGCAGCTCACTAGGGGTCCACTGGCATCCAGAACGAAGCGACCGCAGCTGGCACTATACAGCCTGGAACAGTACTTGAGCGTAACTCAACTCAGTGATCCGGTTCGGCGGCCTTCTATATGGCTAGCGCCAGCGCCGTTACATGTGCGTTCCCGTGTGCCGACACTTGCTTGATGCTATGCGCGCAAACAATCAGTAGAATGCAGAACTTCTGGGGTGGGCATTTTCGCCGTTTAACCTCTTCGCTGCACATATATGCCTACAGGATTACTACCGCTTTCACTGTGGGCTGCCTTCTATTGACCAGGCATTTTCCTAGCTAGAAGGGAACAGCCACCGGCCACTTAGGCGCTGCTCCCCAGCTGGGTTCCTAGCCCTCGTTTACTGCCTTTCTACAAAAGCAGCATGCAGAACCCGGTGCATCTACTTCATTCCATGATACGATATGATTTCTGTTGGCAGATTTTTGCGGGTGTTGTCAGCTTTGCAGTGTCACTCCTAGCTCACACCTATTTGGAAGGAAGCCTCGATAGCCCAACCCATGCAATCGGCCGTGGACCCCAAAATTCCTATCTAGCCTTTCCTTAGGTCCCACTCCTCTAAGCGTTGCGTCTTTCAGAGCACTGATATCGTGTCTCGTACAATGGAAGTCCCTCCACTGGCAATTCAATCCCTCTTTCAATGCTGCCGAACAGTATAGCCCTTGCTACATTTAGGCCGCTTCCCTGCTGGGTTACGTTAAATTCCGACTTTAATATATCTGAAAAGCAGTATACACTGCCAACTTCATTCTTACACGTTCTGATACTTTTACCCTTTCAGCATCGCCCACAAGTAAGGACTTTCCTTGCTCTCGGGATTTGCCTACAAACCCACTAACCCACAAGGCAACTTACGCGAGTACAGTGTTATCGTGAGTAGCATTGTAATGCTATATACGTTGTTGTTGCACTGGCGCAGCGGGTAGTTCCCCGGAACCGCCCTTGAGCGCTATGATAATGTTCGAAGGGTATGGCAAATTTAAGAGATGCAAAGATGCACGTTCACCATAACTAACCGGAATCCTTCAAAAACAACGCCAAAGTATATTATCTGTTTTCCACGTGTGACTGAAAGCCTTACTGTGCCGTTCAGTACATCATCCACTAGGGGCGTTACAAGTTCTAAGCCCCAGCCGCCAGTTCCGCATTGACATCATCGACTTCCTACGGTGGTTTGGGACTAGGTTACTTTTTTTGCCTTAACATACTTTTGTTGCACTTTCTGCGCTTTTTCTCTAAGTTTCAGACACGTTGTCCTGCCGAGCAGAGATGTGCTAGGCAGACACCCGGACGCTGCTCAAGCAGTGGCGGCGAGCTGTCCTACGTGCTTCAACTCCCCCACTTGCAGAAAACAGTTTGAGCCAAAGCCTTTTTCATTGTGTTTGGCTTGGTAGCCTGAAGCGGTTGAGCTTTGGGACTTGAATCTTCTCAGCTCAGCTCTTGCTTCTTGTTACTGCAGCATCGACGTCATCGTGGCTGGGGCTTTTTATCGCTGTGGGAATACTACTGCGATGGCGGAAGAACAGGGTTTGCCGCAGCTTGTGACAGAAGCAGGCGACAAAACTGATTTGGAAGCAGAGGGGGCAAAGAACGAGTCGGAAGACTATTCCGTTTTCACATCTTCAGAGTCTTCGGGTGGATATGGCACTAACAGGTCTCGCATTAGGGCCAAAAGGCTACTGCTTAACCTGCTTTTGGGACTGGTTGCTGTCACTGTAGTCGCGTCCCACGTTCAACTAATACGGGCCACCTTGCGAAGGCGTCAGGCGTATCGAAGTGTAGTAACCCACGAGCAGCGACCTGGTAAGTGCAGCGCGCATGCTTTCAAGTGTTACGTCCAACTTCATGGGTAACTCCTGTATCCTAGGTTGCAAAGGGGAACGGGATAGACTTACCCGCCAGTGTGTGACTGCCCGTTGCTACTTTGTGGAATCCGTTGTGCTGCGCTTTTAGAGATTTCGCACTATGTAAAATATGCGCCTCTTCCACAGACAGCAGATGAGCCTGAGCAAGCCCATCCTACGTCAGGAGAAGATAGTGAGGGGAGGCATGAGGAGTTGCCTTCCCCCACAGTTTTGCCGATTCCAGAGGCTTTTGACAAAGACACTGGGGATGGGATTTTGATCGCCCGTGTGTCTTCCAAAGAAGAGCGTGAAGATGCCCCTCGGCGCGAAGACAGAGCACCCTTACTTGGGGCTGAAGAGAATATAGTTGAGATTGAAGAGAATGCTGACTCTGCGGTGGAAACTAGTATTACTCCAGAAGAGAGCGCTTCAAGTAATGACGAGGCTGACGTCCCTCCAGTTGAGGCTGCTTCGGCTGACGTCCCTCCAGTTGAGGCTGCTTCGGCTGACGTCCCTCCAGTTGAGGCTGCTTCTGCTGACGTCCCTCCGGTTGAGGCTGCTTCGGCTGAAAAGAGAGATCCATTCAAAGGTTTGGAGGACGAACTAGCTGCTTTGGAGGTTTTGATAAATGACTCGGGGCCCACTCCACGTGAGCCAGGAAGTCCGCCAGCTGACACTACGGCCTCTTCACATGTGAGGGAGCCTTTGGAGACTATTAAGGAGTCTGAGGCAGAGGAAGCATCGGACGAAGCAACAACGGTTGCATGCAAGGAGCCTGCAACAACGGAAAAAGAGGCTTCACCGGAGAGTCACGGTCAGTCTGCCTCTGATGCATTGTCTGGTCCCATGGAGGCACTCAAGTTTCCCCAGCAAGAGGTGCCTCTCCCCGAAATCCCTGTCGAAACAAAGCCTCAGCGGCGACACAGAAAGGCACCGAAGTCACCACCGAAGGAACCACCTCCGAAGCCCCCACGGAGGCCGGCGCCTTCTCCTGAATCTGCCGAGAGGCTGGAGGTACAAGTTTTCAAAGTGTCCGCAGCTGGGTTTTGCTTTTTGTTTGTTCACGTGATATCTGTTGTATCTTCTGGTCTAAAGAAATACGCAAGAGTGACTGCTGTGGATTTCGTGCTCAGGTGCCAACCCTCATATCGACCCTCACAGAATCACCGTTCGACGCGATGTATAAAGTCGACGACAGTGATTTGGAACGTAGGTTCCGCTTGCATCTCTTAGTTCGTACTCCTCATTTTGGGCACCCAGAGCCCTCAAAGTGAAATGAACGAACCATTGAACGTAGTCGAGCCCTGCGCCCCACGATGCTCACTGCAGGCGACTCTGTTTGCTGTCTTCTTGTTTTCCCAGCGTATAGAAGCATGCTTGAGGGGAACCTTGAAGATATAGTGTTTGTCCAACAGGTTCCAGTACCCAAGTGCGTCAAGAACGCTGAGTGGGGTATTTACATGAAGCTGTATTCTCTTTGTTTTCAAGGTAGAGGCATCCCTCTGGTGCTATTTGAGCCTGCCATGTTCATCTTGTTTTGGGGTTGGTTGGTCGTCTCTTCAGGCAGCAGCTGGTGGACTTCACAAGTGGAAGCTGGCTCGATACCACAGTTATGCATATTTACTGCGCGCTTGTAGCTGTACGTCTTAGCCTTCAGCGCCGTATGCTGCCTATAGAGGCTTTGAGTTAGTATTAATTGAGTTCTTCTGAAGTTGCAGATTGATATGGTGTATCTGTTTGTCACTTCTGCGGTGTGTCCGTCTGTCACTTCTTGCAGAAACACATCGATAGTCGGGTTTCGTTAAAGCAGTGAGTTGGAAATAGACATGGATTCCGTACACACGCAAGCGAGCAGCCTACTGAATGAACATAACGCCCAGCATGCGTTCTGAGCAGAATGCAAAGTTCACAGTGAGCCCTTGAAGCGCGTGCACTAACAGTTATGGTCTGCCCATGACAGTTTCGCTTTGCACAGACAGAAGGACGTGGCAGTGCTCAGCCCCGTTGATTACGCCACCATGTGGCAGCTCTTTTTGAATGACCATCGCATTCCGATGCCATCGGAGGTAAGCTCCTGCTACCAGCTGGCACAGCCTCTTCGTCAAGAACAATGCATTCGCGAAAGCTGCTCATTATCCTTGCAGAATAATTCTTTTTTGAAGCCTTTGCATTAGGTTTTTGACTGAACTGTTTCCAGAGCGACATCACACGTTCACAAACGGCTTCAAAGGTGGTTTTTCCTTTGATGGTGCCATTATGGGACTGGAGCGCAAACGAGTATTCTGGCTCTGTGGGGCATTTCATCACTGCAGTTATTGACCGAGAGTGAGTTGCCCTTTTCCCCGTTGTCCATTTTTGGGAGGAGATTGGGGTTAACTGTCGCCACCCATAGGTGTAGTTGACGGATCAGAAGCTTGCTGCTGCATGAGTAGAGCGGTTTTTCCATGGGTTCAGCGGGCATAGGTGCTTGCAAGCCTTGACGGAAGTTACGCGCCAACACACAAGGCTTGTTTCAATCTCCGTGGTATCCTTGCGTGCCATTCAGGAACGCACGCATTTCCGTTGTGGACAGTCTCCCTCACCCTGAACCCTTCTACGGGCCTATTCTCGAATTCCTGCGGCATGTTGCCTTGCAGCTACACAATCCAGCGTGTAGGCTTCAAATATGTCTTCGAGCTTTAGTAATGTTCACCGTGTGGTCAGGTACCCGAGAGTATTCTGGGCGCTGACATTTTTTGTCAGACGCATTTATCGCAGTCCTGGTGTCGCTTGTGCTTTCTGCTTAGCGGGGCCTGTGCCGCAGTACAAAGCATCTCCACACAATCCTGAGGTAAGCATCTCTTCTGTGCGGCTTTCTTTCGACTGCTGGGTCTAGGAGGGGAGGAGCTACCTTGCCAGGACTGTGCTCTTTGTGCTGGACTTCAGCCAGGATTCCCATTGCAAATGGAGGCTTTTGGTGTGATTAACGCCCAAACTGTAAGTCAACAGAGCCGCGTTTAGTGATACCAAAGCTTTATGCTGCACATGCGGTACGCTAGATTACATGGCCCCCACTGCAGCCTTGAGTTTTTTATTCTCCTTTTCAGAAGGATTACAGTAATGCTTGTGGCCCGTTCACCCTGGAGAACATTTTATGCATTGCTGAGAATCGGAAGCCAAACTACTCAATTCGGGATGCCCCCAATTTGCGGAAGCGCTTGGTCAGTCATCTCATAGCTGTGTCCCACCTCAATTGCTCTTTGCAAAACTCTAACCGTGAAAACAAAATAACAGCTTTCTTGTTGTTGCCCAATATTTCGCCTAGTTTTTAGTAGTACACATCAGTGCAGTGCAATTGGGCTTTCCGGTGATTCAAGAGGATCTGGGCATTGGGGCAAGCTTAATGTCTCATTGTTCGGAGGTCCATACCTGTGTATGTCTTATGTGGCAATTTATATTGCAGCTATTGGAACTATTGAGCGGTCTTTGGGATCGTCCTCTGCAGTCAGGAGAGCTACGTGTCTCGTTAGAATGATCGTACGCACAGGGCTCAATTCAAGCAGATCCGCTTCGCCTTTGGAGCAACTTTGGCGGCAAAGATGGTGATTAATGAATATGTGCCTTCACGTACAAAATGTATAGGATATTAGGGCGCCTCATGGATCGTCATCGAGTGCGGAAGATTTTCGCTTTGAATATAGCCTTTAATTTCCCGTAGGCATGCTTGCGCTGCGGGCTTGTCACCTGAACGCACTAGAAGCTCATGCGCAGCACGTATTTGAATCCTGGTAGAGTAAGAGCAGACTGCCATATTCTTGCGAGGCTTTTCTATGCAAGGCAAAACAGGTCATATTGCCTCCGCTCTTGTCGTCTAGAAGCTTGGGCTTGCCTTTGCAGTTGGCGTGAATGAAGGCATCCCGCGGCCCGTTTATCTGGATGTTTTTATTAATGTGGCTGCGATATTCGTTTGGAGAGCCAGTGTGAGGAGCGTTTTACGTATTTCAGCTCCTTCAGTGCCAGAGAGACCACGGTTCACCAGCGCTTTCATTGAGAGCATCGCATGTGCTGCACCACGCCAGCAGCGCCATTTAGAGTCATGCGGACTCACCTTGTCAATACGGCAACGGCTTGTTAAAGAGTTACGCATCTGGAGATCAGCCGAGTGGCGAAACGTGCCTTTCACTCGAGGTCTCTTTTTTCTGGTGCGCCTCTGCATTCTGCTTTCTCGAAACAGGGAGCTGAATAGGTGACATTTTTAGCTTGGTACTTGTACCTTCTAGCTGTGTTGGTCTCTTGAAAGGTAGAGTTGCGCAGAATGCAGCAGTTTGCAGCGGATAATGAGTCTTTGAAACGAGTTGGCCTCGCTCCCGGTTCTCAGAGCAGCCTGACCGATTGTAGCCTGGAGTTTCTGTTAGCTCCTTCAGAGTACGGGAAGTGCCAGCTAGATATATCCCTTCCTTCCAACGGACTTGTAGAGAAATGCTGATCGCCATATGAGGCTTTGTACCGCAGAAAATGCACTCCATCCTAACAGCATTTCGCAACCTACATACTGCTGGACCTAAGCGTGGCACTCGCAGATTCACGCCCTGTTGGGCGGATAGTTTGACTTCCCTGCACATTGGGCAGCATTATGGAGTGAAAGAAGGGCTTGTTAAACGGTGCGGGAAAGCTGTAGCCGGCAACTCCGGCGGTTCGAATAAGTATCCCTTGTGGGAGTATAAGAAGTTTCCTAGAAAGCGTTGCTGCTCTGCGGCCCCTTATACGCACAAGATGTGCAGCACACGTGGAGTGCCTCGACCACGCATTTTGTATGTAGCACTTGTAGGCAATGGGTGACGCTTTCGGACGTAGCTGAAGAAAATAAGCATATGTAAGCGCCGACTGCTCCCCTTGTGTCACGGGTTCGTTAGATAAGCGTGCACTCTGAATTAATTCAACTTTCCCCACTGGTGCAAATATCTGATGCAAGCGCTGCTTCATTCTGTTGCTGTTGTCCAGCTATTTGCTGTCCGACCTCCTTTTCCGTTTCCCTGTATGTGAGCATACTGAACCGTGCCTGCAACTGTCTCTTCCGTCCCTTCGACGCACTGGCCCCTCTGTCTCACGTTTCACCTGCATCAGCAGCAAATCCTCCTTCCGGAACCAGGTCGTGCGAGAAACCGTGCTTCTGTTGCATTTTACTCGGTTTTGAGTCACCCTGCCGCTTCTTCAGCCGCGGCCCTACCAAGCTATATCAAAGCCTAAAATTGCTCCCGGTGTCACGGCCGCAGGTGTCGCCGCTGCTCCAACCAGTAGAGGAAGCGCGTTTTGAGTAAAACACGCCTCCCTAAGCCGCATTGCCTCGTGCACCCCTGACGCTTCACAGGCGAGGGGTCGTTCTAAGGCAGGGCAACCCTGATTGGTTGAGCAGACGCCCTCTAAGGGCAGGCGTCCACAGTAACGTACTAAACATAAGAAAGTAAGGAAAGCAAAGCTGCCCGTCGATGTGCTTCTTCTGCGAGATCCCGCCGAAAATGCAGGCAAGCTTCTGCTGAAGCGAAAATTGCCACGACTTGCTCAAGTTCTGCAGGCCTGCTGCAGCTGTTAGCATGTTCACGCTGCAGCAGTGGTTCAACTGCTGCTGCCGAGTAAATAGTCCTCGTACTGCAACGAAATGTACGCAAGTAGGAGAAATTCTGCTGGAATCGGAGTATATGCATCTTTCAATCAGCCCTCGCAGTAAACAGTAAGCCGCTGATGCTTCAGATGTCAATAGGTGACCAGACGACCCCCAGTCAAACTGCTAGCGAAAATGCTAGCAAACAGATTGCTAGCGAAAGAGCTAGCCAAAGATTGTGCAAGCAGCCTTTCAGGAAGGCTATTCGGCGGCAGAAATTCGGTGGGAACGGTTGGTCCCAATCCGGCGATGCATCGGATATCAGGTACTCCCTGATAGTACTGCACCAGTTGATGCATCATCTGCTGATATATTTCCCCTGCAAATTCCCTCGTTGATACATCAGAGGCACTTGCCAGCGAACGTGTGAGGATCCCTCTCACGGCTTGAGCGTCGCTGTACCTCTACTTATGTGGACTGCCCTTGCCTGAAACCTCCCACTCAACCCCACGATTGAATCCCAATCGTTCCCCTGGGCCCGCTTTTGAGGCCCTGCAGCTGTGTCGCTGTTGCTACTGCTGCTGATGGATGCGTTTGCAGGCACTGCACTCCTCTGTGGAGCTAGCTGTTTCCCTTTGCTCCTGCTTGTGGGAGCAGGTATCTGGAAAAATGCAGCCCTGCAGCATGTGCGTCCTTTCAATTGGCTTCTAACGCTGCACGCAGTCTTGCATATATATGATCGCTGCTGAAGCGTCACTGGTATGCTAATGCTTAGAGGGTGTTGCTGCGGATCTTGTGCTGCTGCTGCTATCGCCGGTGCCCACTGCATTGTTTTCTCAGTTCGGTATAGCAAGCCACTGCATCCGCTGCAGCTGCATGATGCCTTGCTGTTGCTGCTCTCCAGCTGTTAAAAAGTCATCTGGTGACACTGCTGGAAGGAACAGCGCCGGCTGCTTTTGCTGTTGTTCCTGTTGTTGTTGCTGTTGCTGCTGCTGTCGTTGCGGCACGGTTTGCTGTTGGTCAGCTCCGGGCATGAGGATACTCTGCTGCTGTTGCTGCTCCTCCCAATTAAGCAACGGTTGAAATCCCAGGCCCATACTGTTTGATGCTGCTAAGCGCAGTCTTGTCCCTTGCTGTTGCTGTTGTCCTGCAATCCTCTGTGCACTCTGCTGATATATGTCCTGTTGCAGCTCGCCCTGCTGACGCTGGAACTGCTGGTGAAGCGTGACAGCATTCTGCTGATTTTGCTGTCGTTGTTGTTGAGACACATTCGGCGTGAGCTCATGTCCCCAGAGCAAGTTTGTGTCTGCCTGCAGAACGAAATATATATGGAACAGTGAGATGGCTGAGTCCTTTTCTGTTCCCCGTGATAGCACTGACGCGAATAGCAGCAAACTCAAAACTGGACGTCAGCCGCCCTTTTGAATACGTGACACAAGGACCAGACACTGTGCCAAAGCAAGAATTCGATGTGCAGGGACAGACCTGGCGCTGTACCACAGTTTCTGTGAAGCTGCTTGGTGTCCAGAGCTTCTGAAGTTGTTCCTGTTGTGATAGTGGCGAGCATCCCTTAACATCTGGTAGAAGCGGAGAGGACGCCACTACGGGAAGGGGACAATCAGCTTCGCCATACACACGTAGCTGAGGGGGCTGTTGCTGCTGCTGTATATCTCCAGTTACTAGCCCGAGGCCAGGCGGTGTAGCTTCTGTAAAGGCTGGCCGCTGGTGATGCTGGACTTGCTGCCAGCCCGCTGTTGTTGGAAAAGGTGCAATGGATCCTACCCCGACAGCGAGCGGAGCCAGCTCTACGGGAACTGAGCGGTGCTGCCGGTGCTGCAGCTCCTGTTGCTGTATCTGTTGCATTTCTTGCAGCTGTTGTAGCTGCTGCAGTTGATGCAGTTGCTGGTGCTGCTGCTGCATTGGACGCGCATCCATCCACACTTCCTGAGCTAAGCGAAGTAGGTCATTCTCAGATCCATGTGCCTGCTGCTGCTGCTGCTGCTGTAAATGGAACAGCCTCTCTTCCTTCGCTGAAGGACTAGACAGAAGCAGTAGCTGGTCCTGCTGCTGCTGCTGCAGTCTCTCCTTTAAGCGTTGCCTTTGGCAGTGAGAAGGCCGGCCTACCACTGATGTAACTGCATTGACAGGAGTCGATATAGGCTCCGCCTGTGGCACCGGTGCTACGTTTGCCACTGCCGCAGCTGGAACGAGCACACTCTCGTCGGCTTGTCCTTGGTACGCCGATGCAGATGCCGGCTGAGAAGGCAGAACCTGTGGCTGTTGCGCGTGCTGCTGCTGTGTCGTACGAGCCACCTGTCCTCGTTTCTGCTGTTGTCGGTTTGCACGCGAAGTCTTTGCCTGGTGTTGCTGCTGTTTTGGGTGGTGTTTCTGCTGCTGTTCTGTCACATCGCTAAAGAGGTGAAACTGTTGCTGCTGGTGGTGTCGCTCTTCGGCAGTGTCTAAGCTCAACAGACTAAGCCGATGCAGCACGTGATCCTGTTGCGAGTTCATATGGACATCCGCTGACTTAGCTCCTTCCTCCTTTACCCCTGTCATGGGAAGGGCCACGGACTCCCCATCAGTAGCAACGACAGCTGGATGAGTCAGAGGCTTCCCATTAACCCACAGAGGGACTCCGAGGCGCCCAAGGGAATCTAGTAAGGCCGCTCTCTTTGCCGCTGGTCTGTTCTCGATATGCGCAATGACGCAAGTCTCAGTTAGCTTCTTCTGCTGATCCCTCGCGGCGGAAACTCCGCTACGTAGATGCGCTTCCCAAACCTCTGGCAGCAGCTGAGGGGCAATACAGTGGCGACACAGGGCCCCAGAAGGTGCCTTTAGAATAGGACGGGTTCCAATGCTGTAGTGACGGAAACGAGGGTCAATCTGTGTCACACAAGCTCCACGCTCTCAACAAAGTAAGAAAAAGACTGTCTGAGGGGCTCACGAGGCGCATTTCCCCCCAGCATTTTTCTCCCTCCACCTACTTCTACTGGAATCTGCGTGGTGAAAATGGGCGATAACAAACTTTGACGCAAAGGTATTTCTAAAACACAAATGATATGAACATTGCTCTGGGTTTGGCTACCTCGCAGGTCATGCCGTGGATCGCCTTCGTGGTGACCAGACGAATTTCGCTGGTGCAAATCCCCTTGACAGCGCATCCAGAAAAGTCCCTCACTGGCCTGTCGAGCGGCCTAGTCTCGAATGCCCGGATGGTCAAGTCCAGACATCCGCTGCTGCTACCGCCGCCGTTGCTGGTGTTCAACGAATCCGCCTGCTCTGAACTGCGAGATGTACTTACCATAGAGTAGCGCCAGATGTTGTTTTTTTTCCCTGAAATAGTAACACAACGTCGAAAATGCAGAGAAGCACAACTAAGACAGCCACTATTGAGCATCACATCTCCTGGAAACGCATTTTCAGGTAGGACATTGGCTTCTGCTTCTGTGGGCACATCACTTAATGCGTTCTTTCTGCAATAAGAACCTCTAGAAAAAGCAGTAGCAGAAGCCTGACCTAGTGCTGTATGCTGTTGTCCAGTACCCTTGTGTCTTCTGCAGCAGGATGATCTACCCGGAGTTGCAGCTGCCGCGTTGGTACTTGGAGCTGTCATGTTCTCTCCTACCCTCAGCCGCTTGCCATCAGTTTGCTGCTGCTGCCCATAAGTCCTCAAAAGCCCCTCGACATAGTTCTCCAAATGGCGTAAAAAGGCCTGAAGCTTTTCGAATTTTCCGCGCTCTTCCTCCTGTAGATTCAAGGGGATAAAAAGAAAAATATTGCGAGGTGCAGCATTTGATATGTTTCACTGAGCACATGAAGTACTGCACGAGCCAATCCAGTCAACGATGAGGAGATTGTAAGTGGCGCAAAAACAATTATTTTGGTGCTGCATCAAGGAATATAAGGGAGAACAATTACAGTTCACAGATAGATTCAGAGTGGGTGCTGTCAACACAAGAGCAATTTAAAATACGGCTCGAAACGAAAACACAGGGAAGACGGTGCACAATAGACGTCAGAGAGGAATCTTGAACAGAAAAACGGAAAAGGAAAGTAGCTGCGGGTGACTTATTTCAAGGAGCACGTGGCCAGACGTTGCGCGTAGAAGGAGCGATCTTTATTACGGGAGTATGTACGGCTACAATAATATCTGAAGGGCCTAAGAGCTGCGTGCATCAACTTTTCAAAGAGGAGCAACTGCGAGCCATACGTAGAAAAGCATGAATTTCCGGGGGGCAACGAATCTAGAGTATACTTGCTTATGTGTCGACGAAGGCCTGTTGGCAGCTTGAAGGCCTCAGCCCGTCATGTAATGACTCTATAATTGACGGATAGTTTATAGAAGCTGCCCTGAATGCCCCTGCCTGCTGCCTCGAAAATGTGTATTTTATAGCTGTGCACACCAGGCAAATGCTCATATTAGTACAAGCGGGATCTTACTTACACCCTCCACTGAGCAGCTCACGGTGAGAACCTTTCCCCCAAATCTACCGGGTGCATTTCTCTCCTGCAAGCCCCAACAACGGAGTCTCAGAGGCTCATGAAGCTGGGGGAGCAGCTGTTGTCCAAGCGTATTAAAGGCAGCAGCGACAAGAGGAACCAACAGGCATGGAACGTATATAATTGCCAACTCCATTTGCAATGAGGCCGCAAAGGTGTCGCAGATGCCCCCAGCGTGGGAAAACAACGTGTGAGCCGCAGGGTGCAGCGTCGGTGAGAAGATGTAGTAACTCTTCTTTACCCCTAGACTTTGGCTGCTGGTGTTGCTGCTGTTGTTCGTGAATTCAGCTGAAACAGCTGAAGTGCTCGAATCCCCCGACCCGAATTTCAAAATTCGGCCAAAAGGCAGATTCAAAGGCAGCGTTATGAGCAAAGACGTGAGGTGAGATCGATCGCATGTACGCTCCCAGCCTGGCGCCAAGGGTGGTAAAGAGGGCGGAAGTCGCGGCAGCAACAGAGAAGCCCGTTTAGCTGAGTTCGCCACTGAAGTCTGCTTGGCAGGCTCATGTCGTCCTTTGCACAGACACCCCTGCTGCTGCTCGTGCTGCTGCTCTTCCTGCTGCTGTTGCAATCTGGGGGCCACCGCCCCTTGTTGTACGCAAAGACTGCTGTCACGGTGCATTTGGTGCCCAAGCAACAGCAACTCTTCCAGCTGCTGCTGTTGCTGTTTCGGGTCCTGCTGCGAACGGAAAATCTCCAGCGAATCTTCTGGCAGGTCTGACTGCTGCCTGTTTGGGGGTTGCAAATGCTGCTTTAAATGCTTCTGTTTGGATGCGAGTTCCCTGTAGAATGCAGTCCTCTCTTGTTGCTGGCGCTGAAGTTGTTGGTGTTGACCGTCAGTCGGGCCCCAGCATGTAAAGGCTGATGCGAGCTGGCTTTCAACTGGACAAAGAAGCTGCCGCTTGAGCTGCTGCGGTTGTTGCTGCTGCTGCTCTTGCGGCTCTTGCTGTTCGGTTGATTGCCAAAGATCAAGCCTTGCCAAGGATACAATAGGTGTAGCAGTATCTCTTTTTTGCAGTGCCGTTACTGCTGTGTCTGCTGTGGTGGACGGTAGCGGCCAATCTCTGGATTCCTCAAGGCCTCCCGCTACGGCGACGTCTCCAGGCGCCCCACCACAAAGCTTTACTTCCGGTCTAATTGCTGTCGAGGTGAACGTCGTCCCGTCCGGAGGCGTCCTTATTGATCCCTTGTTATTTCGAACAGCTGGAGTGGCTGGAGCAGCAGATGCAGAAGTAGAAAACGAGTCTTCAAGGTTACTTGGTTCACCCAAGCTGCTACTGAGTGATACGCTACCACTACGACACAAAGAATGATCTAAAGGATCATCTGGCCAGGATGTTTGCCAATGTGTTGCGGCAGGTGTTGCTGCTGCTGTTGCAAGTGCACCAGCAGCCCCTGCCACAGCAACGACGGAAGAGTCTGACGGTTTCGCAGGAATGTCGTCACCCACGCACGCAGCTCCATGGGAAACCTCGCCGCATTGGCTGCTGGTGCTGCACGGAGTCTGCGTTTCCACATTGGGCAGTTGTAGCAAGCTGCTGTCTTGCTTTCGGTATTCTTGTGTGTTTCCTGCCGTGGCAGCAACTGCTGTAGGATCTGCTGTGTTCGCTGTGTGTCGTCCCCACTCGATAAACTCAAGACTGGACCTGGCCGTATCTCCATGCTGTGGCGGTAGAAACGGCAGGGGCTGCTGCTGGCTTTGTTGTATACTTCCTTGTTTTACGGCACTGTTCTTGGCTGCTGCCGCAGTGGCAGCGGCTGCATCAAATCCTAGCTCGCCTTGTGGTGTCTGCGGTGCTGCTGTGGATCCCTGAGACGTTGGCGAATATGCATGGGACAATCCCGGAAGAAATGCTAAGACACACGGACTATCTCCAGCACCTGATCCTGCAGGCGCTGCTGTAGCGGTGGCTGCAACGGCAGGCAGAGCTGTTGAGGTGGTGGAGGACTCCCAGATAGGAATGGTGGCATTTGCCTGCAAGCGCAGTTGTACAGTAGACACAATGCTCCCTACCATTAGTAGTTGAAGCGCTGATTGTACGTTCTGCTGCGCATTAGCGGGACTTTAAATTTCCACTTACAATTTCCCGGGCCGAGATTCTGTGCATCTCAGGTGGGACAGGTGCATGCCGCTGCAGCTGCTGCAACGGAAGCTGCACCTGCTGCTGCAGCAGCTGCTGCTGCGGCTGTATTTGCTGCTGCTGCTCGCAAGGGTCCGCCAAAGGCTCCTCGCTATCGGCAGCCTGTCGCTCTTCCGCAATCTGCGTGGGCTGTGTAGGAGGTGTGGCCGCTGGTGTCTGCATTGAGATATGATGATGCTGCTTCATCTGCTGGGCCAATATCTGTTGCCGCTGCTGTTTGTCCTCACTATCCCCTGTGGCTGGCACTTGAGCCACTGCTGTTTCGTCCTTTTGCATCGACCGTTTTATCTCCTTCAAGACTTCACCCAATACATGTGGTGGATACAACGTGTCCCACTTCTTGTTGCAGAGGTGGGGAGTGAGCCCTGCTGCGACAGGTGCTGGTGCTGCGGCTTCTTGCAAGGGCATAATCGTGTGTTTATTTGCTCTCCGTTAGCTGAGAGAATTTGTGAAAAATATGCTGCGCGTCCGCGCAGAGGAACTTTCTATATGGCGTGGATCCAGACCGAAATGCGGTCTGCATGTGCAGTTCGCCCGGGGCAACAAGCAGTCATGCGACACACGCGGCGGATCGGAGCACGCAACCCATACATACGGAAGCAGATGTCTCTGTCATATAGTATAAATTGTCACAAATATAGGCGCAAGCATACACATGAGATCAATCATGTAAACGGGCACTTATGCAGGTCCGAAAAACTCTAAGACGGCCGTCTCCTTTCCCTGTCGTTTGTCCGGGATTACGTTTGCTGCTGCTCTTCGTGGAACGACTTGTGAAACCGCTGTTGTGGCGATTACCTCTTCTCCAGGCGAAGATGACAACTCTAATATTACGGGGCCTTAATCCACTCAGACATACCTAGGGGCACTGCCTGTTGCTGTTCCGTGAGTCGTGGTGGCAAAAGCTGCTTTCTTGTTGCCTCTGCTGCACGGAACTTGCGAATGCGTGATGAAGTTACCAAACGTAAGCAAGTTTCTGGAGGAAGTTCAGTCGATTTCGTTGTGGAAGGAAGGCGTATCCTGTGCGTCTCTCTCCCGCTCGCTCCACCGAGCACGGAAATAAGAACAACGGGGTGTTGCTGTTGTTGTGGCTGCTGCTGCGTCCGCTTCAACAGTCTTTTCCTTCTTCTCAAGCAAAATGAAATGTTAATTTTTGGAAGAAGGCAGAAAATTAGCAACGGAATGGCAGGGTAACCGAGAGGACCTGGTGGCCCGTGCAAGGGGCCACGGCGGGGTGCGCAACTGGTGAAGCAGCACGAACAGCTGTTTACAGTTATGGTTTGGCAAGTAGAGTCTAATATTCAGATTTTAGGGGGCAATATATGATTGAATAAAGAAAAAAAGGTTGCCCTCAAACCATCAGAGGCTGGAAACGGAGCTGGAAGCCTCACTTCTCCCCCCAAGTCAAAGGTCGACAGTGCTCGGCGCTGCCGGAATTTAGCGCCTAGAGGCTCACAGCCCAGCGCTAGAGCTAAGAAATCCTAGAAAAACCCCCATTTATTTTGAGTTTATGAAACAAGTAAGAGACAAATCAAAGAAGCCGTTGCCACAGCAATACGAGACAAGGGCAGCACGGCACAAGTGCTCGTGCGCAAGGCCTGCAGTAACGAGCGGCTTTTGGGCGTATGAACACCCCAACAAGGGCATCAACAAGACACAAATAACCATGGTAAAAATAAGACTGAATCATCACTCGATGGAGGGGCAGCGAAGCGGCGGGGCGCTTTGATGTTTGGGGGGCGGGTGTGTGCTGCCGCGGCTGCTGTCTCCCGCTTCTGTTCGTGCTAGTGCTGCGGTTTCTGCAAATGCATAGAACTCTCAGCACTGTACTTAGATTTTAGCTCTAACTATGAAAAGTATTTCAAAAATTAAGTGTTAGAGTACAATAAGTTTTATACTGAGGCGGAAGATGGCGGTGCACGTAGTCATCACTGTGGCTGTTTTAGGGTCCCTCTTGCAACGATGCTGGGAGCAGCCACGGTGGTTCTTGAATAAGAGCCCTTTTTTATTTACGTATCTGTCCGAAATTAAAACGCATTGTCGCCGCTTCATGCACACTTTCATCCTAAACGGTGCAGTACACATTTCACATCTACGAGCAAGATCTCCACGTAGACGAGCACCAGCTCTACCTGAAATGTCCCCTTTAACCCCAAATACTTTTGAGCCTTATCAGAAGAATTTTAGACAAATCCTATTACATTTCTAGTGCTATACGGTTGCTGCTACGTTTTGCGATGCGCCCAGAAACGCACAACCATAGTCGTCCAGGTTCGTTGGAGAAAAACAGCTGTGGGATGGCAGGAAGTAATCGTCGAAGCAAAAACAATAGTGAAAGAAACACATGACCGTCTAATAGCACACACTTTTAACACGTACTGTTGCAGGAACACGTGCTCGTCCAAATGCATACGTGTTTACCGTGCGCAGCTGTAGTTTGTTAAGAAGTGCTCGCTCTGTAGTTGAAAAGCCTGCACCGAAGTTGCGTAGCTGGCTGAATCTTTTATGATACAAAATTATGGTAGTTGCATGACTATCTGAAACGTTTATGTTCCTTTTACTGTACTGGCGTGCCGGCATATTGAAACCATCCAAAAAGAATAAATTCCTTTTTTTGGGCTAGCTCCATGTTACAGTGTAGTGATGAAGAAAGAAACGAGGATATACCACAGCCGCTAGGTAGCACTAGGAGTAGGCAATAACACGAAGCGCAAATGCCGTTTTGAGGTGGGGCAAAAGGCAGTCTCAATAGATCTTAGCTATAAATAAGCCGTAGTGTGGAGTAAAGAGCGCCTTGCGCAGCGCACACCCGCGATCTGCTGCAAGGCCTGTTTTTGGAGCTTCCAACGGAACAGCCAGACTGCGTCCACTCCGTTGTTCTAAGCACCGCTGTATGAACAGTTGATACACTAGAACTGGTGTTTTATTCCTAGCCGCATTAAGACGAATTTAATTTCCACCATTGCAGTTCGCCTTCAGGTGGTTCGAGAACTTCACAACTAGCGAATTAGTAACTCTCTGCAAGTGTATGTTGCTGGCCTACAATTGTAATGGACTGCATATATATTTAAAGTTGCTTAGCGACGTTCCCAGGTGAAAGGAGGCCAGTAGCGTAAAACACCAAGCTCAAGCGATGCAACGGAATATTAGCGGTTTTCAATCGTTCCATAAGATGAAGACGGCCACCGGCATGCTCGACCGGGATGCATACGGGAGAATGGGACTCCGCTGCACTGATAATTTTTTGTGACCTTTTGAAACTCTCTAGAAGTGTCCATAGACTACGGCTGGGTTTTGAATATCTAAAGCGCTGCACATAATTGACACGCGCGGGTGCACTACTGAGCATTCCTTCAGAGGTCAGCCGACAAACCAACTTGGGCTCTTCCCTAATTGCAGGGCTTCTTGCCAATCCATGAAGAGTATACTCCAGACATTTTGTAAAGCCCGAGCTATGAAGCTAATTTTTCAGGCAAAGCGTGGCTGATATGTTCATCGTTCTTGCGTTGACGAATATAGGAGAGGCTTTTTGTACGGTGCTAAAGGGAGATAATGCCGCCCATAATGTTGTGTGCGCCTGCCGCAGCGGCTTTTTGATGGACACCTTATCTTTGATTCTGCGAAGTTCCTTGCACTCTTTGAGGGCAGAGAGAAGGAGAATAGCAACTCTTCCTGGCATTATCCGGGACATCAGTTCCGGCTGCGTCAGTGTTTCGTAGGCCTGCTCTGCAGCGGGCCGTGTTAAGGCGTTCTGAGGCCGCCTTTCCTGTTCTATGGGTTCATTTGATCTTTTCACAGCTAGGTTATACCATAGGCCTTTCACGTAGGTTCGCGTTTTGTCGGACTGGAATTACCAGGCTACCCTATGCTCAGTCAATTAATCTAATCCTAAGACGAGGAAACACGGTATAGTCCCACTAGGAAAACCCCGATAAGCGTTCGCTCCCGCACTGAACAGTGGGTCCCGCCACTACGCGTTTGATATGTATTGCCTCTTAACGTGGCTACAGTGCGTTGGTACGCCTTGCGTAAATGGCGCTGAAGGGCTACCTACTAAACAACGGCCGAGTTAACGAAACTTAGGGATGCTCTCTTGTCAAGGAGCCCGTCACGCCTAAGCCTTAGCATCTCGAAAGCAAGCACTGCCACCATGCCCCCACCGTAGAGTGTAACTTGGCCGTCGGTCACCATCTCCGCACTCAGAAGCTCCCATCGACACTCCGCGAGGGCTTCGATTCCCTCAATTTTCGTTCCTCTCCCCACACGCACACATACACGAACACAGAGACAGTGCAAATGTAACGTGGAATGTGCGCGCTTATGTGTTTGCTTTGCTTTGCATAGGCAACGTAGACGCCCGCAACGGATCGACCCACGTGCAGATTAGATGACCAAGCGCCGCTCGGCTCTTGCGCTCAGCAAAACAGCTAAGCCGATTCGGCACGCGCCAACAGAGTTGTTCACCAGTGGAGCTGCAATGTAATTACGTCGCATAGTAAAACAGCTAGGCTACTAATCATAGTTACCGGTAACAATAAAGCCTCATACGTAATGCCGCTGTCGCCGTGCTCGCGTGTCGCTTCACTGCCGAGTTCGTTGCACTTTGCGTGCTCGATTGTGGTGACTTGGTGAGCATTCATGGTCCCTAGCAAATCTGAATACGAATATGCATCTAACAGGTTGGACATTGACCATTCATTGTGCAAATTCAAAAACATTCCTACTCAGAAGACACTTTTTGCTTGTGACGGTTTCCCTGTCTCCATCTAGGGGCTCAACACTACACTCGACCGACCTTGAGTGCGTTTAATGTAAATGCACAGTTCTTCAGGACCTCTATAGTATAAACTTTCACAAATTCGCAATTTGAGCGCCTTTTAGAGACGTCTTGTAGCGGTCGTTTGTGGTACCGCAGTGACTTCAGATTCAGTGTAGCCGAAGCCTACACCGCTTTGCTGCAGTGCTGTGACTACACGAGCGCCCTCTAGTGCAAGTGTTTGTTAATCTATTCAGTACACATGGAGACGGATAATGAAGATCTGACGAACGGTAATTCGACAATTTGCTCCCGAGTTTTTGTGCGTCGGTGTTCACCCCCAACCAGCCCCTATCACCCTTGGTGGCTGGCCAGAGCCTGAAGATAGCAATAACCTGTTGTTCGACTTAAAACTTCTTTACCTTTTGCAGTCTTCTGTTTTATATAATTGAGGCCTCATCAGCAGTCCTAGTGCTGTGAGCGAAGGCACTGCGGCGCACTGCACATCACTCGAGACCTCAGGCTCGTCCGCGGCTAGGCCTGCTGCTTCTGCAGTTCCATAGACATTCTGTACTCCATAATAGCACTTTATACAGGATATTAGTGTCATAGAGCTTCTGAAAGTCTCAACGTATCCTCATTTGCAGTGGAAGGAGCGCCGCAGCTGCACCATCGGCCATTGCGGCTGCTGGTGCTGCGGCCGCGGTATGTCACCAGTGGTCCTGGGACTTCGTATCTCCGATTTGGGGGGCCTCACAAAGGGAACTGGGCTAGGCTGCTGAAGCCTTTGCCCCAGCTGTTGCCCTTGCTCCTGCTGCACTCCGCACAGCAGCAGCAGCAGCAGCAGCAACGAAGGAACAATAGCAGTCAGCACATAGCAATGTCAAAGGAAAACCAGTCCTCTGAGTCGTCCCCCCCATCCGAAAAGGTATCAGAAAGAGATGAATCTCCTGCGGAAGAGACTCGTGAAGAGCCTGCAGTGCGTTATTCGCGGGGCTGCTGCTGCTGCATCGCGGCTGCTGCCGCTGCTACTGCTTCGCCTAAGAATTAATGGCGGGTGACAGCGAACCCTCCTTTGTCACAATTTTCAGGAGTAGCTACTTATTCTTGAGCCTTATTGCGCCGCATTCTGCGGCAAAAGCGGCAGCTGCAGCAACTCGAGGAACTCTGTGGCATGCGTTTTCCACTCCTTTACCTGCTTGAGCTTGTGTGCAGAGCTCTCCGTGGTGGTCTTTTGGACTAGTTTCCGCGGCTGCAGCAGCTGCTGCTGCTGCAGTGACTGGCTCGGACAGGGCCAGCCCGGGGAGCCCTGCAGACGAGGCATCGGGCGATGAGCAGGAAGACTCAGGAGCAGCAGACAGAAGAGGAGCGGCAACAGGAGATGCAGCAGCCAAAGATGGGGAAACCGGAGCCACTGTACGGTTTCATCCGGAGGCGACGGCGGGGGGAAAGGGAGCAGGAAGGCGACGGAGGGTGCGAGAGGACGCAGTAGCCAACATGGGCTTCGTGGAGCTAGTGGAGAACTTGCTGCTGACACACGACAGCAGCAGCAGAAGGAGCTACAGGAGCAGCAGCGTCGGGAGCATCATAACGGAGGCCAGCGAGCCAGACAGTGAGGTTGACTCAACAGAGCCTCAGAGAGAAGAGGTGACCTACCACACATCCCAAGCTGCGCAGCGCAGCCCTTTTAGCTATTATGAGCGGTGCAGGACTCTGGCAGCCACGCACAGAAAGTAGCTGAAAGATTTTGTAGGGTAGGAGTAGGCCTTGACTGATTTGTGAGCCATGCGCATGCGGAATGCGTCTCTTTAGTTTCACATGGTGTGGATTCATTTATATCCACGTGTGCGAACTATATCCGGTGCTTTGGCTAGAAATTTCAGAGTTTTTCCCCCTGTGCTCAACGTGGTTAGCTCGTAGCAGTGGTGTTTTGCTGTGGCATTGTGGACTAGTGCTAGCTTCTTAAAGAGGCACTAAACAAACACACACATAGTGGCCGCAGGCAAAGTAGGAAAGCGCATATTTGCCTCCAGCGGGACCGGCTAAGACCCGCCTCCCAGCACCAGCGGCGAACCATGCGTCTAGGCCCATACACTTGCCTGAGCATCTCTAATGGCCCTCTGGCCACTTGGTTAGATCTGCTTAGCGCAGTATATTTTTGTTGCTTTGCGCATGATGCGTGCCTTAGTCTCCTGCTGCTTCGTTGCGCCCAGCGTGAATTCTCATTTTGGAAGTGTAATACTGTGCAGTACGCGATTGAACGGGGTAGGGCAACGGCTTCAAGGTGGGGGTGAGAAGTGTGCATTGAGATCTCCGTGTGTTTGCTGTCCAGGAGGGTTTGGACCAGGAAAGCTGGGAATGGGAAGCGGAGGAAATCTCGGCCTTTGCATCCCAAATTCACATGAAGATGAGGCAGCAGTTAGAACAGGAGGCGGCCTTTGTAGAGCTAGGTTTCAAAAGCGGCATTGCTGTAATGACAGGTGCACTTGGCATCGAGGATGATACCAAGGTGTGCCCACGTCGTAACTAGATGCAAGCTTTTTCTTACAGGCCCTGCGTAGTAGTCTCATTTATTGCATTTGTATTCTATATGCCTGTTCTAGGCTCTGCAAAGTTCCTTGTGGCACTCAGCTGTGCTCTAACAGGCGTTGCTGGCTGCTGCATCTCGACCGCACAGAGGAATAGGGCAGCTGCTGCCCTAAGGAGCATGCATCCCATGTCCTGTCAGCAGCTTGTGAACCCATTAGCATGTGCCTCAATTTGTAGTTCTACAAATACCCCAGTGGGTATATGGCGGCTATGTGGTAGATGTTCCTACGCGTATGGTCCAGTCTGTAAAAGTTGTGCTCAGATGCTGTTGCGGGAGGGCCGTCTCGCGGGGCTTGGTTTGACGCCTCTCGATGATGAGACACAGACAAGCATACAGCGAATAGACCTTAGCATGCTTTTGACGCTTACTCCACAGAACTACGGTAAGCACAAAACGTGACATGTGAGGGAGGATTCCTGTATTACCAGTGAGGCAAGCAGAGGCAAGGGCTATAATAAGCACTTAGATTATTTCATACGGGATGGGGCTTTGCTAGGTTTCGGCGCAATTTTTGCTGTCCCTTTCTAATGTTCTAACCTGCCGCTTTGAACCCCAGTATAACGCTGGGTTCCAAGGTCATTTGAACTACTCACTACAGGCGCTGTAATCTTCCCCCGAGCTGCGCCTGCCTCTTCATGCCTTCCTGAGTCTTTTCAGCTTCCATTGCAATATCTTTTTCCCACTTGTGCTTTTGTGCAGAGCAATGGAAGAAATCACTTTGCCTCGTTCCCCCGCAGCCCGTGCTCAGTGTTCGCTCTTCTCACCGTCATTCCAACAGTAAACCGAAGCCCTACACTGATGCTTTTATTTTATTGAAAAGCACTAAAATAATGGTGCTACGCAGCGTGTACGCGGGGGCGTTTAGCCTTTCAGCGCGACTTTATCTTGCAGCCTAGCTCCAACTCAGCCTATGGCTGCCGGGGTCAGGTTTCAAAGGGTTAAGGTTCCGACGCTTAGAGTTCTGCATTGCTTTTCTCAGGAAGCCGTCTAGTAAGCCCTACTGGCATCTCGGACCAACTGCGTAAGACTGCGCAAAGCTATGCCCTGACGACCAAATCCTAACATGCACAATACACGCGTTATAGTATCGGGAAGTAGTAGAGCTGCCGAACATAGACCCCTAGAGCCCTTCGTGGTTGGTTGAGAAGTGCAGGTTCAATTTTGGTGATTTTTTCCCAGGATCCCCTCTGTTCAAAATGCACCGCGAGTTGGCGCGACTGGGAAGTACTAGCAGCGAGGACTCTGTCTCGGACTCTGATACGGAACAGAACAGCAGTGCAGTGAACAGCAGCAGTAGCAGCAAGCACGTTGACCTCCCGTTAGCCGCAAATGCAACAAATCCATCGGGGGGCGCCAAACCCTCTTCCCAACGCACTTTGGGAGTCCCTGGAGGGGTCAAGCCTGAGGTACCCCCGCTGCCCACGGGGGTCCCTCGGCTGCACTTAGGTCCCACTCTTTCGGTCACTGTGCCATCAGGGGATTGCCCGTCTCCCTCTTCTGGGGTATCCTCTAGCCTGCCGCCTGCTGGGGGCTCGAGCCTGCAGGTGGGGGGGCCCAGTTGATGTTAGTTCCGTTTCACGTGGGTACCAAGTTAGGAGAGGGGTTGTTGTCAGCCTTTTGAGCTTATGGGTTTCCTTTAGGTAGTTTCTTTCCGAAGACCCTCAGCACTCCAAAATGGGGATAGGGTCCCAATGAACCTTTCTGCATTCTCTCTTCTGAAATTTGAAAACCTGAGTTGGTGTTGTCTGTCTGCCAGTTTTATCTTTTCTAGCTGCAAACATTTTTAGCATCTAAGTGTAGGGGGCTGCTTTTCATTTTTATATGACACAAAACGGACTCCAGGCAGTTGGCAGAAACGTGCTGCCTTTCTCAGTCGCGTCGGCATTTGCCGAGCTTTGTCTTTTCTGTCCGTTTTAATGCTTTTTTGTGTCTTTGCTTCTCCTTCTTCAGACTTCTTTATATTTTTGTTTGTTTCTCGCGCTTACGTCCAATTGTTTTTTGTTCAGCTTTCTTCGTCTGTATGTCTTCCTCGTTGCCTTTTTGTGCCTCACTCTCTAGGTTTTTGTCTTTTCCTACGTCTCTTTGGCTCTTTTGTGGCTTAGTGTACATTCCGTGCTGCACCTAGCACCACTTCAACTTTCTTGTGGTGCCTTTCAGCTTTTGCGAGTAGTTCTGTGCAGGTGTGGTACGGGCACGGTACGAAGACTCTACATATTTCTTTGGTGCCATTGCGCTGCAGTTTCCTTCCTCCCGCAAAAGAGGGAAGCAAAGGCAGTGCTTTTGCTAGCGTGTTAAATTAAATAGCAGCGAATGGGCCTTTTGAAAAACACGGAAGCCATAGAATCTAGTGCGGTAGCTGACGACTAACTGCACAAAGCTGTGCAAATAGATCTTGACGCGGAACTCTTCACCTGCAATGCGTGTAGCAAGGATAGGAGCTGCAACGACTGATTTATCAGGGCCTCTGGTTTAGATTCGAGGGCAAAGGGTAGACTGGCTTAAGAAACACCTCTGCGTTTCACACATGCCAGCTACAATGTGCTGCTAATGCAACGAAAACTTTTGTAATTATGTAATTCAGTCAAGGGTCTGTCTCTGTGGCAATGGGGCTCAGCCATCCCCACGACTCCGCGCCATCAGGGGGCTTTCGCCCGTCCTCAGGACTGCGACTGCCGCCGGTATTTGGCGCACTAGCAAACGCCTCATCGGGCTCAGAAGAAAAGACTGACAAACAGCGGAGGCTGCCGCGCTCCTTGCTGGGGCCCCGGCTTTGGCTCTGCTGCGTTTGCTGCACTTCCTGTAGCATTTCTACCCCTACTTCTGTGTCTGTTTCAAGCAGCTGATGCTCCTGTTGCACCTCCTCTAGTGTTTCTTCAGGAATGGCTTCTGTGGGTGATGTATGTACCGGGGCTACAGATAGTTGGGACGGAGGGGGCACCTGCTGCTGTTGTGCTTTTTGCTTCTCCTCCGCTGGCTGCTGCTGCTCTTGCTGGTCCTGCTGCTCCTGCCCACTCTCCGCCTCGCAGGCATGGGGCTTTCCTTTGTCTTCTTCTGCACGTTGCGCTATCTCACCAGGAGGCGCCAACGGGAAGTCCCAAATTTCACTTTCAGTCGAAGGTTCGGCAACAGGGGTCTCAGGCAAATCTCTTTTCGTATTTACTGGGGTTGTTACTTCCCCATTCAAACCGGAGCAAGACAAAGGGCCTTCCAGGCTGGGTCCCAAAGGTCCATTCGTGAGCCTTTCCCGCAGCTCACCAGGAGCTAGGCAGCACTCTCGCAAGGGGGCTATCCGAGACCCTGAGCCTTGCAGCCTTTTGGGGAATTCGTTGGGACTTTTTGACCACACGGAGCTCATATCCAGGGCTGTTTCTCTTGTGGGGCCACTGTACGGCCCCTTGTTATTTGTTGCTGTCAAGTCCTCGGAGGAGCCGGAGCGCAGTCTAGGCAGTGGCTTGGCCTGGGGTATCTTTTCTGCTGGTGAGTCGCCGCCTACAAAGGCTAAGAGGTTTCTAGACGCCATCTCCTTCAAGATTATGTTGCACAGCCATTCCTGTTCCTCCGTGTGCAGACCGTAAGAGCGGCAGAAAGACTGAACCTGAGCTCCAAAAACCCCAAACCCTAGCTGCGATGGCGGAACTAGCTGCAGGAACTCTGTCTGCTGGGGTGTCTATTTTCTATGCGCTACCTGCGCTACGTGAACGAAGATAGCACTTTCGTTATTCATTTTTAAGCAGAACTTCCAGGGATCAAGCCCTGGCTACTGTTTTTACTAAGGGCCTGGGGTTCGGGTCCAGGGTTTGGGCGAAGTGCTTTGTAGGTTTCTTCAAGAGATTAGGGTTTGTTACCGCCGCCCTGGGGTCTTCTCCCTCTCTAATCGAAATCCGGACTATCTTTCCCTTTTGAACTTCGACGGAAACGCCGAATACCTCAGGGGCCAACCGCAGGGTGTAGTGCCCCTCTGAGAAGCTAAAGGGTCCCCCTTTCTTGGACGCAGGCGAGGGTGGCTCCACCAGCCTGAGTCACAAGACCCTCGAGCTCGTGAAGTCCAGAGCTAGATGTGAGGGTGACGTATTCTGGTTGGGTTTACTTACTAGGCTCATGCTATAACTTAAGGGAAATAAGGGTTCGCTTGATTTGCAAGAAGACAGTGGCAAGCTTGGGGGATTGAGTTTGAGGGCCTCCGCCAGGGGAGTTTGTTCTGAGTCATGGCTGTGAGTGGGCTTAGGGTTTAGGGCTTGCCGGTTATGGTAAAACCTGAAAAGACGCTCCCTGTCTGCAGCTCCTCGCCGGAGCCGTTCTATGGCTGCTCCAAAGCCCACAGGGGGAGGAGGGCCCGGCCCAAGGCCTCTGGCAGCATAGGTTCAGCAGCACAACAAAGTTGCCTTTGCAGTTTGAGAGGAAGACCGAGTTCAGATAAGCTCACGTGTACACAAAAGCGGACATCCCAAAGTGCATTTCACGCGTTTTCACGACTGCTGCCAGTTGCATGCAGCATGCAAAAGGCAAACTGCGTGAGTGTGTACAGAGGCACACATTATAAATGCACCCTTCTGTGCAAACCCGTGAGCACTGGAACATCCAAACCGGCTTAGCGGCCAGCCAAAACATGCCAACAAAAACACGGGAACACAATGACAAAATTACGGAGAAAAGGCGGACACGCGACGAAGTCCAAAAAAACAAAGTTAAGATTGCACCCATTCGCACAAACGGCTGGGTACCAGACAAGAACTAATACAGAGAAGCACACAACTGGGCAGGCGTGCAAGAATATAGCAACCGTTTATACACCGCAGGAACAGCCGAGGCGCAGACTAAACGCGGTATTGAGCTGGGGTAAGGGCAAAGAGAGAAAAACGAGGTCCGGCAAAGTACAGGTTGAGAGGAGAAGAGGGCTCTGTGGCTGTGCATTTACCGAGGCGCTTTATGAGATAGGCCTAAGTCAGGCCTGAAAGTGCATTCCTTCAAGTCATCTTGCTGCTGTTGTTGCTGCCGAAGCTGCTTTTGCTGTTCTTGCTGCTGTTGCTGATATTGCGCCAGCTCGAATAACTGCACGTGTCGAGACACTCCTCCTTTCGTCTGCGAATTCGAAACACCAGCTCTCTTTGCTCGAGCATGTAAGGTAGATTTCGAACTGTATATGTTTGTTTCCTGTTGCCTACGTTCTTGCGCGAATGCATATTCTGGAATTTCCTGGGGGCAGCTGCGGTTTGCATACACCTACATTTAAATTGCATGGTCGCCTTACCCGCTTTGGCTGTTTCTGAGCCGCCGTTGGGGGCCCCCAGGGGCCCCCCACTGAATTTCCCCTTGGTGTGCAGGAACGGGGGCTTCCTGGGCACCGCTGCTGCTGCTCCTGCTGCCGCTGCTGCTGCAAGAGCTCCCTTCGAGCCTGCCGTTGCCGCCCTGTGCGCAGACGCCATGCGTCTAAAAGCTGATGTGGCAAAACTTGAACTGGAAGCTCCAGTTGGCGAAGCCTACAGGAAGCTGCTGCTTCTGAAGTGCATCACTTCATGGGGAGAGCTCCCAGACCAACTGACTGCATTAACAAACGCCCTTTTCGCTGGGATCTAAACTTTCAGTGCTACACTGAGCCCTTTGGCCTAGAAAACCCCTAGAAAACCCAGCTTTCTGCCTGACCGCGTTCAAGAAGCCTTTCTGTGACTGCTGCAGAGCTGCAGCGCACTTTTGGCTGTGCCTCCTGTGGGGGCGCCTGGCCTGCAGGCAAAGCTCTTGGCCTTCAAGTCTAGGTCTTTAGCCCAAGCCCTTCACCTTCAACCCAGAGCGCAGAGCCTAAGGGCCTTCTCAGTGCTATAACTAAGCCCCATCTACAAGACTGGCACTGAAACCCTGCGCCCCCGTGCTGCGAAACTCTAGTTCAAAACCCAAGTCCTAAACCCTCACGGAGGCTTTTGTTGCGGAAGAAGCAACTCCTCTGGCGGTTCAAAAGCAGCGGCAAGAAGTCACGACTTAGGCGCCGCAGCTCAGCGTAAACTGCAAGAGTTTCCTGCAAAGCCAAACGCCAATTCAGCTAAGCTGCATCCCTGGGCCAGAACCCTTATCTTGAACACCAAACCCTAGAGTGTCACCGCCTGCATTTCGGCGCTGTAAGCCACTTAGCAGCGACTGAGAGCCAGAGGAATTAATTGCCCGGCAAGCAGAAACAGGATCAGCAGCAGCTACAGCAGCAGCAATTGCAACAGGAAACGAGCCAGGGAACTCAGTACAATGGCGCAGCAGCTACAGCAGCAGCAATTGCCACAGGAACACACGTGAAGAAACTGCTTATAGGGACGCAGCAACTACAGCAGCAACAATCGCTACGGAAAAACGCGTCAGGAACCTGTTTATAATGGCGCAGCAGCTGCAGCGGGTACTTGGCTCACTTGCTGCAGCTGTGTTGCTGCGTGTGCACCTCTGACGCTGCTGACTCCTGCTTCGCCTTCTCTGATTCCTATATCCTCAAGTCTTTTGGTCGCTGCAGCGAGTTGAGGGCAGGAACATTTGCTGCTGATTCCGCTGCTGTCACGGGCGGGTTCCTTGCTGCTGCCGCAGTGACCGCTGCAGCAGCTGCTGCTGCCACTCCAACTCCTGCTGCAGTCCGACAAGAGCCCAGCAAGAAACTGGAAAAGACGCTCTCGCTGTATCTTCCCCGAGCCCTCAGGGTCCAGAAGGCTGCAGAGCCGGTCTGCCAATCGCTGCGGGGGAAACCTCATTCAATTAATGGATTTGATGTGAAGCTTTAATAAATTCTTAACTCTCACAGCCTCATGACTGGCTCTTAATTGGCAGAGACCATCTGCTGCAGAGCTTTGCAGAAGCTGTTTAAGATTCGGATTTCAGAAATGAGCGTGTAAAGTTCAAGATGAAGAGTAAGAAAAGCCTCACGAGTTCTTTCTTTGTGGCTTCTTGAAAGGTCAGTTGCTTCCTCGCCCTGATAACGGGGTCGGTCTGCTGCAGCTGATGCTGCTGCTGCTGCTCGTGTTGGTGCTGGAAAATACCCAGCAGCTGCAGGCAGTCAGGGAGCAGAGGCGCCGGGAGGGCAGAGGCGTCTGAGGCTTGCTGCTGAAGGCTGGCGTAGGCCTGCCTGCATGCATGCACAGCAGCAAGAGTTTGCGTCTTAGGGTTTGGAGGGCTCGGGGCAGACAGTAGCGAAAGGATTTCGCGTTTGACTTTACTTGAGTTCCTTGGAGAGCCGCTGCTTGAAGACTCTGAGCGACGCAGCCGTTAGCTTGGATGAGCTACTGAGGTGCTGCTGCTCTCGCTGCAGCAAGAGAAGCTGCTGCTGCTGCTTGCGCCTCCTCGTTAGTGCGTCTTCGTAGAGCTGCTGAGAGATAAGCAGGCCGCAAGAAGCGCTGCTGCTGCTGCTGCTGCTGCTGCTGGCGGTTACTGCGCTACACCGCGACCGCTGTTGCTGTTGCTGGCGCAGCAGCAGAATCTTTTGCTGCTGCTTTTTCCGCCTTGACTCGAGTCCCTGGTAATACAGGCGCAGGTGCACACTGTTGCAGTTCCCTACTGCTGCTGCCTCTGCCGCTGGTCTTGCCGCTGCTGCTGCCGCAGCAGCAGCAGCAGCAAGGACCTGCGACTCCGCAGATATTCGAGGCCTGAAGGAATACTTGCTCTCGTCTTCTACAGCAGCAGCACCAGCAGCAGCATCCGAAACAGCATAAGACCGGGCTGACCACAGCGCCTGCCGCAGCGCCGCGCTGTGTTGCTCATCTGCATATTTCAGACACAAGAAAAATTGGCTCTTCGCCTTAAAACTTAAAACCTAGACCGGAGGCTCTGAGCTCTCTGTTGCATTTTTGCTGCATGTTGCGAAATCTAGACACCTTGTGGCTCGCAGTCGTTGCTTGGCATCAGCCTTTTGCTCGGTGACCTGCGTGGGTTTGCCCCTGCTGCTGCAGCTTGCTGCAGCCTGCTGCAGCCTGCTGCAGCTTGCTGCAACAAGAGCCCTCTACTCGTTACTAGAGGAAGGTCCCCAGAAACAGAGGCTCGGCAAAGCCTGCTCACAAGGATGCCTCGCTTGCTTCAGGCGGCAGCAACAGGAGGGCTTAGCAGCAGCCACAGCAAGGCTCAGCAGGGCACATGCTGCTGCTGCTGCCGCTGCCCTTGATGCTGCTGCTGCTTTGCAGCAGCTAAAAAGAGACGGCGCAGCAGCAATATTAATAAGCAGTGGACGAGAAAGTACACGCTGTTGCTGCTGCTGCTGCTGCTGCTGCGTCGGGTGCAGCAGCACTACGCACAACCTGGGTAGCCCAGCGACACCCTGAGTTTCAGCGTTCTAGGGACTAGATATTTGAAGGCCAGCAGCCTCATTTCACTACTGTCTTTAGTGCCTGGTGGCCTCAGCAGTTTCAGGCGGCTTCGAGCAGCAGCTGAGGTTTCTAGCGCAGCGGGCCAAAGGCCCACATTTCCTGCCTGAGGCTCAGGGCTTTTGCTCTACGGCTATTTCTCTAGGCCTGAGGGCTCAAGGGCCCCCCTAAAACCTGCCTGGGGCCCCCGGGGCTGCTGTTCTTCTTGCCCAGGGATATAAGAGCTAGGGTCAGTGTGCTGCGGGCTGTGTGGCTGGGGCCCGCAACCTGCGCCGACCAGGCCTTCGCGTCTATCAAAACAAACACAAATTAATCTAAAATTAGTAAATTAAGGGACAAAGACAGATTGAGACAGTACAATCGCGACAAGTCGGCACACTGCCTAGATGTGCCGACTCGCGTGGCTGCAGCCCCAGAACACCGCAGAACCCCTGAAGGTCCCCTGGGGGCCCCCCTTTGGGGCCCCCTGAGGCCCCCTTGTGTACCTATTGATTTCCCCTCCACTTAGGCCTGAAGAAAAACAAAAGAAGCTCCAGATTAAAAAGAAATATACAAATACAACAGAATGCGTTAGGTGTGCATCGAGGCTGGCCTTCTTCACCCCACGGGGCTCGCTGGTTGCTCGAAGATCCGAAGGTCCTTGAGGATAGTCAGGATAGTCAGAGTCCTTCTTTGCAATTTATGAATCTATATCATTGCAATGGTTTAATTAAACATAAATTGCATTGTAACTGAGCCGAATTAAACATCCTTCGGTCCGGGCTGTGCTCGCCGTGGCCTACTCCCCAGGGCTTTCATTTGCTGCGGGCGCCTGCGGCAGGGCAAAGGGCTTAGAGGGCACTACTAATAAGAAGCTGAATGAAGCCGTGAGGCTTTCTGCTGCTGCTGCTGCAGTTTGGGGGCTTTGAAGGCCCCCGCAGCGCTGCTGTTTGGGAGCTCTGGGTACAAGCGCACTGCCGAATGCAGCAGCTGCTGCAGCTGCTGCAGCAACAACTGCTGCTGCACAATAGGACGTACTGGCGCCTTCAGGCTTCTCGTTCTCTTGGAGTCCTGGTGAGGGAGAAGCAAAAGCGTCAAAGGGTCTACAGCCGCGGCGGCAGCAGCAAAGGCGGCGGCAACACGAGCTGCAGCAGCGTCAGTAGCACTAGTGGCAGCAGCAGGAGAAGCAGCAGCAGGCCACTGGAAGCAGCGAAGCACAAAGGGGGCCCCGCAGCGAAGCAGCAGAGATTCGGGTATGAGATAATCCCGGAGGCGGCGGCAGCAAACCCTCCAAGGAGCAGCAGCAGCAGGCACTGCAGCAGCAGCAGCAGCAATAGCAGTAGCAGCAATGATGGCAGCAGCAGTGGTGGCAGCAGCACTCGCTACGGCTGCAACAGCAGCAGCAGCAAGAGCCTCTTTCCAAAAAGGCAAAGAGCCTTTGGCTCCAACGGAATAGCCGCAGACAGCAGCAGCAGCGAAGAGCCGCCAGGGGCAGCAGCTGCTGCTACCCGTGTGGCGCTTCCAGCAGCTACGAAGCGCCCGCAGCAGCAGCAGCAGCAGCAGCAGAGACAGCGCCGGCAGCAAACAGATGCAGAAGAACACAGCGAGGAGTATTTGCTGGACTCTCTTCCTTTCTTATCCCCCCAGCAGATCTGCCTAGCAGTCTTTAGACTCACTGGCCCCAGCAGCAGCAACAGCAGCAGCAGCAGCAGCAGCAAAACTGGAGCAGCCTCTGCATCGCATGCTGCAACGCTGCGCAAAGTTGCTGCTTACTGCAGCCCGCTTGTAGACTTATGGCCTCATAGAGATGTTGCTATGCTGGGGGTCAGCCTGGCTACGCACTACAAGCAGCAACTGCAACGGCAGCAGCAGCAGCAGCAGCAGCAGCAGCTCGTGCTGCAGCAGCAGCAGTACGAACAAGGTGATCCAGTGACGCAGTTTCTGCAGAAGGTGGGGCTGCATGTGCTGCAGCACGCAGCGCAGCACGACCCCCGTGACTTGCTGCGGCTGCTGCCGCTGCTTGCTGCTGTGCCGCCGTCCCCCAGAGCAGCAGCAGCAGCAGCAAAGGCAGCAGCAGAAGCTGCTGCTAGTGGAACAACTGCTGCTGCTGGGTCTCCTGCGTCAGTTCCTCATCTGCTTGCTGCAGTGCTGCTTCCGCTAGCTGCTGCAGCAGATACTCTCGCTGGCCCTGCTGCTGTTGCTGTAGCTTTTGCTGCACTCACTGACAGGCGCTGGGAGCTTCCTGAATGGGCGGCAATTTCGCTGGCGCAGCAAGCGCGCTGCTGCTGGCAGCAGCAGCAGCAGCAGCAGCAAGAACTGTCGCCGCAACAGCAGCAGCAGCAGCAGCAGCAGCAACACGTCAGAGCTTGGCCCACGCTGCCGGATGCAGCAAGGACTGCATATGCATTTTGTCGCTTTGCTGCTTCGAAGCTGCAGCCATCTGACTGTTTGCAGACACGCGATGCCGTTCATAGCAGCAGTGACAGCAGCAGCAGCAGCAGCAGCAGCAGCAGCAGACGGGACAGTAAGATATTTTGGTTGGACTGGCTGCACTGGTTCCTTGGGGAGCTGCCTGCTGTTATTTTAAAGGCCGTGCCTCCACCTGCTGCTACTGCTTCGCCATTGTCTTCTGCTGCTGCTGCTGCAGCAGCCCTGCCTCCTGCTGCAGCTGCTGCTTCGCGTGGTGCTGCTGCAGCGCAGCGAGACCTTTCAGCGTTGGCCTCTTCTCTGACGCGGACATCACAGCTGCTGCCAGCTGCGCATGCGCCAGTGTGGCGGGTGCTGCTGCCGCAGCTGCTGCTGGCGAGCAGCAACAGCAGCAGCAGCAGCAGCAGCAGCAACGGCAGCAGAAACAAAAGAGCTGGTTCTGCTGTTGCTGCTGCTGAGCCTTCATCTCTTCTTAAGGAAATAGCTTTAGGCTGCGCTGCTGTGGCGCGCTGCAGCATCACTGCAGCAGAGAAGCAGCAGCTGCTGCAGCAATTTGCGCCCTGCTTGCTGCGGCTGCTTCACCAGCTGCTTCCAGCAGCAGGCGAGCCCACGCAAGCAACTGCAGCAGCATGTCTTGAAGCAGCAGCAGCAGAAGCTGAAGAAGCAGCAGCAGAAGCCGAAGGCGCGGCGGCTGGGCATCTCGCCCCAGTGGCTCCAGTGACAGCCAAAGTGCTGCTGTCTTCCTTTGCTGCTGCTGCTTCCAGCAGCAAGGACGCTGCAGTTGAGCAGCTGCTGCTGCTGTTGTGCAGGTACTTGCGAGGATACAGAGAGCACTTCAGCCTCGAACTTCTGGCCTATGCAGCAGCAGATGCAGGCCTTCTTTCAAGTGTTTCACCTTCAGCAGCAGTGCGGAGTGAGGCTGCTGCTGCAGTGGAAGCAGGGTGTGACTCCCTGCTGCAGCGGCTGCAGCAGCAGCAGCAGCAGCGGCGGCGGCAGAAGCAGCAGGAGCTGGAGGCGAAAATCCCTCGACAAGCAGCAGCAGCGCTGCTGGCCATATGCAGCAGGCTACCCACAATCCCTGTAAGACTCGTCGAAGCACTGCAGCAGTCCATTCTCCAACCGCAGCAGCAGCAGCAGCAGCTGCTGCAGCAGCAGCAACAGAAGCAGGCTGATTCAACTGTCTCTCAGCTGACTGCCTGCCTCCTAGCGCTGAGCCGCTTCCCCCGTCGCCTCCTTTCGGAGCAATGGACAGCAGCAGAGCAGCAGCTGCTGTATCGGCTGCAGAAGCTGCAGCAGCTGCCGCAGCAGCCACAGCAGCAGCACATGCAAACGGAGCTAGGACTGGAGGAAGCAGCGCGAATTCTTTCAGCCTACGCTGCAGCGCTGCGGGAGGCCCCACATTTGCTGCTGAAGTCAGTACAGCAGCTTGTGACCCCACAGCTCCAGCAGCAACGCCAACAACAGCAGCAGCTGCTACTGCAACATCAGCAGCAGCAAACAGATATATCGACGCTGAGCCTCAGTGGCTGCATGCATATGGCGCGCCTGCTGGAAGCTGCAGTGCTCCTCTCGCTGCACCTTCCCTCAGCCAGGCAGCAGCAGCAGCAGCAGCAACGGCAAGAGCTGCAGGATATTCAGACGACAGGAGCCTTCATGTCTCTCCTAGTGGATTCTCTCTGCGACAATATAGCGTTTCACAAGAGATGCCTCTCCCTTTTGTTTACACGGATGCCGTCTGTCTCACCCGATAGCAGCGCTAACCAGCAGCAGCAGCAGCAGCAGCAGCAGCAGCAGCAGAGCGACCAGCAGCAGAAAGCCCACCAGAAACGCCTGCAGCAGCTGCAGCGGCTGCAGCAGCAACAGCGCGGCCTCGTGGGCATCACAGCCATCTGTGCCACCCACATTCAGCACCCTCCACTGTTGGCTGAGGCGCTGCAGCTGCGTCTGCTGCTGCTTTCAGAAGCTGCAGCAGCAAAAGCGGCAGCAGCTATGCATGCGGCAGCAGCAGAGCCAAAGCAAGCAACTGAGTCTATACCTTTCTTAGCTCCGTCAGAGGAGCTGCAGGTTGGCCGATTTGTTGTTTCTTTTCTTGCGGGCTGCTACTATCCCATCCAGCTGCAGCAGCAGCAGCAACAGCAACAGCAGCAACAACATGACCAAGATCAGAAGCAAAGGGCGTGGGATATGCTGGTGTCTTTGTTGGGGGGCCACGAAGCGGCTGCAGCAGTAGCAGCACGCGCTGCCCTTCACGCAGCAGAAGCGCTTGAATGCCGGCAGCAGCAGCAGCAAGTACTGCAGCAGCAGCAGCAGCTGTGGACCAGCGAGCAGCAGCACGGGTCCCGCCCTTCGCTGCGCATGCAGCTGGAAGTGGAGGCAGCACTGCGCAGCAAATCAGTGCAGCACGAAGTGCGGAGCTGTCTGTACACTCTAGACTTGCTGCTGCCCCCGCTGCCGCTGCTGCCTCACTGCTGACAACACAAGAAGCTGCAGAAAGTTCTTGTCTTTTGTTCTTTCTTGAAGCAGCTAGCTGCCTTGGATCACAGCTAGCTGCTGCAGCAAGCTGCTGCAGCTGAGTCTCACTTCTGACAGTTAGCTGCGACGCGCGCGAGCCGCCCCGGCTGCACCACGGCTAGCCGTGGCTGGCTACTTCTACTCACAGCTAGCTAGATTTAGCCACAGCTAGCCATGGCTAGCTAGAATCAGCCATGGCTAGCCACAGCTAGCTAGAATTGGCCACGGCCAGCTACGGCTAGCTGGACTTAGCCGCGGCTAGCTAGACTTAGCCGCGGCAAGCCACGGCTAGCTAGAGTTAGCTGCAGCTAGCCACGGCTAGTTAAAACTAGCTAGAGTTGGCCGCGGCTAGCCACGGCTAGCCAGAGGAACCCACAAAACATAAATAGAATAGAAAGTACCTGCTGCCTTCGTGGCCGCAGCAAAGCCTGCATTTGCCTGGACAGCTCGGTGTGGGGCCAGAAGCTGCAGCAGAAGCAGCAGCAGCAGACTTGTTGGAGCAGCAGCAGGGCTCTGCTGTAGCAGCTGCAGCAGCAGCAGCGCGGCAAGCTGGCTGCATTTAGCTGCGAGGCGCCTGAGCTCCTCGTGCGCGCTTCCTAAAATGACTTAATTGACTTGAAGACATTTTTAAGCAGGTGGAACTTCCACTTTCAATTAAAACAATTAAAACAAACTTGAAAAATAATTTTCATTTTTCATCACAAGCACTGCAGCTTGGCCCCAGACTAAACCACTCTGGGGACCCACAGGGGCCCCTTCAAAACGAAATTTTCTTCTTTCTTTTTCCTCCAGAATTTATTAAAACGCAAAAGAGACTTTTTCCCAAGTCCTAAATAAGATCTTTAGTCTCTTGAAGCTGCAGCAGCAGTGCATTTTGGCCATCTTCCATTTCAGCAGCCACAGCCAGAGGCCTTTGGAGCCTTTGGCTTTGCTGCTGATGTTATATTAGAACAATTTTCTCAAAAATTTGACTCAAAAGGAGCTAAAAGGCTTTTAATTAAACAATCTGGGGCAGTGCAGCACCCAGGCAGACTGTGGCGGCAGAGAAGCTGCAGCAGCAGCTGCAGCAGCTGCAGCAGCTTCGCTGCAGCTTTCTGCTGCTGAAATCTGGAGTGTCTATACAGCTTGCAGCAGCAACTAGTGAGGCCCTCCTAAGGGCTGCAGGTCCTCCAGACCTTAGTGGGGCTTCTCCTTCTGCAGAAGCCAATTGGGTGCAGCAAAAGAGCTTCTGCAGCAGCTCTAAAGTGCTGCTGAAGGCGAAAACTGCTGCAGCAGCAAACTGCAGCCTCCCCATGGCCCCGGGCTCCCCCCAGCTCCTGGCCTCGTGTGCCCAGCGGGCCAGCTGCAGGTCTGCAGGCCTGCAGCAAACTAAAGAGCCCAAATGAATTTCTTTTTGTGATAAAGTTTGACTTTTAATGTTTCTTTAGAGCCCTAGACGTGTCTTACAGTCGGGGCAGCTGCTGCACGCGCAGCGCACACACAGCCCCCACCCGCAGCAGCAGCAGCAGCAGCAGCAAAGGACCCAAGGGCTGCACAGACTTGCTGCACCCCGAGGTTTACGCATTGAGGCTGCTGCTGCAGGTGTGAGCAGCAAGGAGCGGCTGGGGGCGGTGCAGCAAAGAGGACCCGCGCCAGCCCGGCGCGGCCCCCGCTGGAGCTGGCCTGCTGCGGCGCCGCCAGCTCTTAGCCGCAAAATTTCAAAGGAAAGGGAGAAATTAAATTAAATTAATTCTATTGTTTAGCTTTATTTCATAGGGAGTGCTGCTGGTGCTGCCAGAAAGACGCACACACTGCGGGCGTGGGAGGACCGCTAGCTGCGTCTGCTCCGCGGCTGGGGAGCTGCTCGGGTCACTGACACGCGTTTTGCTGGAAATAAAGAGCGCAATAAATTCAAAAAATAGATTAAAAAGGTTATTTCGAAATGAAAAGCTCTAAGAAATGCATTTAGAACGGCAAGAGTGAACCGGTGCTGGTCCGGTGCTGCAGCAGCGGAACAACCGCTGCTGCAAGGCTGCCCATTGCTTTGCGTACTGCTGCAGATACGCTGAAAACACAAGAACGAAATGCATTATATAATCCTTTTTGCTGTTCCTTAAGCACATAAAAAGATACAAAACATAACAAAAGGCGTGGGCCGGTCCGCCTGCTGCTGTGCGAGAGTGAGCGTTGCAGCGCAGCAGCAGCAGCAGGTAGGTCCGCTCTTGCTGCTGCTGCTGCTGCTGCTGCTGCTGCTGCACATATCGTGGTACCTTGCAGCGTTCGTCGTCGATTCTTTGGCGTATTTTTAAAGTCCTACTGCCACATTTTTTCTGTCTCTGCGTCTTTGTCCTAACCCCTTTCCTGCAGCAGCAGCAGCAGCGGCGACAGCAGCAGCAAGATGGGTTGCGTTTCCAGCAAGCAGGGAGCCACGCCTGCACAGAGGCAGCCCTCTGCTCCCGGTAAACAATTCATACCATAAAAGCTAAAACAACCCTAAACCCTAAACCCTAATTCAGTGGTTCCGCGCTGCCCAGGCCTCCCGCCCGCGGCCGACGTCCCGCTGCGCCCCGCAGCAGCAAACAGCAGCAGCAGCAGCAGCAGCAGCGATAGAAGCCTAAGTGACGCTCCAAACCATTGCTGCGCATTAAGCCTGCGTTTGGGTTTCGTTTACGAACATTGGTTCCGCTGCGGTTGCTGCTGCTGCTGCAGTAGCAGCAGATTTACGTGCCTAAACTCTGTGTGACAGCAGCGCAGCAGCACGTTGCTGCTGCGCTGCTTGGCGCTCAACTGCAGCACATTTGACTTGTCTCTAGGGTTTCATATTTGCTGCAATGGAGCTGCAGCAGCAGTTTACGGGTGTGTGCGTTCGTGTGTGTCTTGCTGCAGCAGCAGCTGCTGCTCCTGCAGCAGCACCTGCAGCGCCAGCTGCAGCACATGCTTCTGCAGCTGAAGCCGACAAGAAAGCCGCCGCTGCAACAGAAGCAGCTGCTGCCGATGCAGCAGCAGCAGGTAAGTCGGCTGCCGCTGCTGAGAAGGAGATAGCGGGCGCAGCAGCAGCAGCAGAACCAGCTGCTGCTGCTGGGGGAGCAGCACCAGCAGCAAAACCTGAAAACAAGCAAATCAGCGTGGAGCTGTCTGCGCCGCCCCCGCTAAAGAGCCCCCCTCCTCCTCCCCAGCCCAAGGCGTCGCTGCCTGCTGCTGCTGACGCAGCAGCAGCACCAGCAGCAGCAGAAGCAGCAGCACCAGCAGCAGCAGCAGACGCAGCAGCACCAGCAGAAGCCGAGAAGCCCGCCGAAGCCTGAGCCCCGCAAGCGACATTTTTAGGGCGCCCCACCCCCCGGGGCTTCCCGCGCACGCAGATGATGAGACAAAGAAGGTGCTGCAGCAGCAGCAGTTGCTGCAGCAGCAGCAGCAGGAACTGCTGCTGCAGCACGGCCCCCCCACAGCTCCACAGACAATGGCTTGGCGGCCCCTCTGCAGCAGCGCAGCTGCTGCTGCTGCGCCCAGCAGCCGCCGGAGCCCCCAGGCAGCTGCAGGGCGACTGGCCCTGTGCGTGTATGCGTAGTTAAGTGATTTGTTGCTGCAGCAGCAGCAGCAGCAGCAGCCGCTGCTGCCACGCCGCTGCGCTGGTGCTCCGCGGCTCCAACTCTTCTGGCGGCTCGGGGCTTCCCCTCTGTCTCTGCTGCTGCCCTTTTCTTCCTTTCTCGGTAGCGTTCTAGGCGCAGCACCTGCTGCTGCTGCTGCTGCTGCTGCTGACGGCAGCAGCAGCAGCTGCGGGGGCAGCAGCGCTTGCTGCTGCTGCTGCTGACGGCAGCAGCAACTGCAGCTCCTGCTGCCCCCTGCAGCCGCCGGCGGGTCTAGAGCCCGCCAGTACTGCTGCGCAGCAGCTCTTTAGTTGCTGCTGCGCATGCAAACACTGAGGGACTAGGGAATATTTAAGCGTTTGATTTTACGGTCTTTGTGGGGTCCCGCTGCTGCTGCTGCTGCTGCTGCTGCTGCTGCTGCTGAGCTGTCATCGAACAAACAGCTGCAGCAGCAGAGCGAAATACTTTCTCCTGCTGGGGTGTACGTACACCGCAAATTGCAGTGCAAGCCGCCCAGCAGCTGCACAATGGTGGGGCTGTTGCTGCTGCTGCTGTTGCTCTTCGTGCTGCTGCTGCTGCTGCTGTTGCTCTTCGTGCTGCTGCTGCTGTCGCTGTTGCTGCTGCTGCCGGATCGGCCTTTGCACGATCATTCTCTTTGGCGCGGCTGCATGCCTCGGCCTCCGCTGGAACACATCGCCGCTGCAGCTGCTGCTGTTTCAGCTGCTGCTGCTGCTGCTGCTGCTGCTTACAGCAGCAATTTCCTTGCTGCTGCTGCCTCAGGGAAGGCCAGAGCCGCGAGGGCCAAATCACAATCTCTTTGAATAGCAGCGACGAGGTGGGCTGAGGTGTACAGACAGCAGAACAAAAAACAGCGCAGTGTACATACAGCTTTGCTGCAGCTGCTGCAGTAGCAGCAGCATTAGCTGCAGCTGCTGCAGCAGAAGCAACATTAGCTGCGGCTGCTGCAGCAACACCAGGTGCTGCTGCTCTGAGTGCCTTCTGCGCAGCTGCTGGGTCGGTGCTTCAGGGTTTAGGGTTTAGGGTTTAGGGTTTCCATAACTTGGATTTAAAAAAGATAAAAGAGACAAAAAGAAGCAAAAGATAAATGATAAATGAAAGACAAATATGAGACGAATAAAGGTAAAAATGAAATACAGAAATCGATTAAAAAAGAAAGGACAGAAAAGGGATAAATAAAAATAAATAAGAACAAATAGAAGACAAATAAAAGACAAGACAAAACAAGTGAGAACAAAAACGAAAATGAGTAAAAAATGAAAAGCAAAAAGAGACATAGACGGACAACAAATAAATAAAAGACAAATGAATAACAAATAAAAAACAAACAAAAATAAAGGAGAATAAGAAGCAAATAAAAGGCAAATAAAAAACAAATAAAGAAACATAAAAGACAAATAAAAGAAGAACAATAAGCAAATAAAAGCAAAACAAAAAACAAAAAAAGAAAAATAAAAAACAAATGAAGGCGAAAAGCTGAAGATACACTCGAGCGGCCTGCAGCAGCCAAACGCCGAGAAGCCAAAAAACAAAATAAAAAATAAAAAAAGAAAAGATGAAATAAAAAGGAAATAAAAGGAAACTGAGAAATAAAGGAGAAGGGAAGAACGAAGAGAGATTGAAGATAAAGAAAAAGGAAAAGAGAAAAAACATTTGAAGAGTCAGACAGCAAAATAAATGGAAAAAAGAAATAAAAGTAAACAAAAGGAGAGACAAAAAGAGACAAAAGAAATAAACAAAAAGAGAAAAGAAAAACAAAAAGAGATAAAAGAAATAAAAAAGGTAAATAATATAAACGAAAAGGGATAAAAGAGAAAGAGATGAAAGAAAGAAAAGAAAAGAGATGAAAGAAAGCGACAAAAGAAGGAAACAAAAAGAGATAAAAGGGGGCAAAAGAAAGAAATAAAAAAGATCAAAAATGAAAAAAAGAAAGAAACAAGAAAAAATAAAAGAACAAAAAAAGACAAGAGAAAGATGACAAAATAAAGGAACGACGAGAAACAAAAGAAGACCAAAAAGGAGAAAAAGTTCTCCAAATAATCAAAAACTAAAATTAAAAATAAAATTAAAAAATAAAAAACTCACAAAAAGAAGCAAATGGAGCTTCTGCCCGCACAAAACCCCACAAAGAAATCTTCAATTCTCTTCCCCTAATATCCCCCACATCTTCAGCCAGCAGGTGCGGCTCCTGAGCAGCAGCAGCAGCAGCAGCAGCAGCAAGCACAGGCTTCCACTAGGCAGTAGCAGCAGCAGCAGCAGCAAGCACAGGCCTCCTTTAGGCAGCAGCAGCAGCAGCAGCAGCAGCAGCAAACACCGGCTCCATTTAGGAAGCAGCAGCAGCAGCAAAAGCCACCACAGGCTCCCTCTTGGCACCAGCAGCATCAGAAGCAGGGCAGACTCCCTTGGAGCAGCAGCAGCAGCAGCAGCTGTTGCTGCTGCTGCAGCTGCAGCAGGGCAAAGCCCAGCAGCATCGGCAGCAGTAGCAGCGAGGCGCCCGGCAGCAGCGGCAGCAGCGGCAGCAGCGGCAGCAGCGCAGCAGCAGAAAGATAAGACTCCAAATTCAAAAGGAAATAAATAACGAGACAAATAAAAATGAAAGGGGGCCCCCAGCTGCTGCTGGGGGCCCCTCCAGCTGCTGCTGGGGGCCCCAAATGTTTGTTGCTGCTGCTTCTCACCACAGTAGCTTTGCTGTTGGCGAAATAAGGATTAAATCCAAAAGACAGAACTGTCTTGTAAGGACCTTGTGGCAGCTGCGCCCCAGCCTCAGGCAGCAGCACCGCCCACCCGAAGTAAACCCCTGCAGCAGCAGCAGCAGCAGCAGCAGCAGCAGCAGCAGGTGCGAGGAGCGCGCGAGGCGGAACTCAGCAGCAGCTACACAGCAGCAGCTGCAGCAGCAGCCACGCCAGCAACAGCAGCACTTACCCGGAACCAGTGCGAGGTCTACGGCAGCGTCGAAATCCTGCAGCAGATGCTGCTGCTGCTGCTGCTGCTGCTGCTGCAGCAAGAGATTAGCCGTAGGGATTCCCAGTAAAGAGCTGCCTCTGCCGAAGCCGCGAACTACAAGGCCCTGCAGCAGCTGCGGCTGCTGCAGCAGGAAGCAGCTGCCCCAGCCGCATCTCAGGAGGCTTCGCCGGGCCTCCGCTGTCACTCCTGCTGCTGCTGCTGCTGCTGCTGCTGCTGCTGCTGCTGTGCTGCTGCTGCCCTTTGACACATTCTTTAAGGCACGAAGAGGCACAACGCGCTCTCCATAAACAGGCGTGGCCTCGTCGTCGTCAACCTGCTGCTGCTGCTGCTGCTGCTGCTGCTGTTGCTGCTGTTGCTGCTGCTGCTGCTGCTGTTGCTGCTGCTGCTGCAAGGGCTGCATTCCATAGGCTTTCCGCAGCGAGATGATGTCCAAGGACTCGAGGCACTTCAACAGTTTTACTTGCTGCTGCTGCTGCTGCTGCTGCTGCCCTGACTGCTGCTCAAGGGTTACCAACTGCTGCTCTGCTGCTGCTGCTGGCAGCTGCGGCGCAAATACACTAAAGCCTGAGAGACGCAGCAAAACGCACAGCAGCAGCAGCAGCAGCAGCTATAGCTTCCGCGCAGCAGCACAAACCACACAAGCAGCAGCAGCTAGCCAGAGGGAGAACGAGCATTCAAATATGGCAGCAGCAGCAGCAGCAGCAGCAGCAGCAGAAGGGATTTGCTGCAAAGACGCACCTGCAGCAGCAGCGAGATTTGCGAACGGCACCGTAGCAGCAGCCACGACGACTGGGATCTGCTGTTTTTGCTGCTGCTGCTGCTGCTGCTGCTGCTGTGGCGAGCTGCAGCAGATGCAGCAGTAGCAGCAGCAGCACGTGCCGCCAGAGCAGCAGATATCCCCCGCGGCTGCTGCGGCAGTAGGCGCAGCGGACACAGCAGCAGCAACCCGCTGCACAGCAGCAGCAAAGTCTTCTGGGCTGCTGCTGCTGAGATGCATCAAATGGCAAGAAGGCAGCAGGGGCGTAGCAGCAGCAGCGGGTGCTGCTGCTGCTGCTGCTGCTGCTGCTGCTGCTGCTGGGGCTCCTTGCGAAGCTGCCGCTGCTGCTGCAGCATGCGCGTTCCGTCCCAAGTGCAGCTGCAGCGGCAGCAGCTGCTGCAGCAGCTTCCCGTTGCTGCTGCAGCAAACCACTGCCATTTCGCCCCCAGAGCAGCAGCGGCGCAGCTGCCTCAGGGCCCCCACATGAGGCCTTGTGCAAGGAAGCAGCCGCTGCAGCAGCAGCCTGAACCCTTCTAGTGTTGCTTCTGCTGCTGCAGCTGTCTCTGCTGCTGCAGCTGCGTCTGCTGCTGCAGCTGTGTCTGCTGCTGCGGCTGTGTCTGCTGCTGCGGCTGTGCCTGCTGCAGCGGCGCTTCCTGATGCGTCTGCTGCTGCTGATGAGTGCTGCGCAGCAGCATCATAATCAGCGGCCCTGCTGCTGCTGCTGCTGCTGCTGCTGTCCTGCACGCTGCTGCAGGTGCTGGTGCTGCTGGCCTGCGGAGCTTCTGCTGCAGTCTTGAGTGGCCCTCTGGCCCAGCAGCAGCAAGTGCTTGCTGCCAGCACACCTGCTGTTGCTGCAGCATCTGCTGCTGCATCTGTTGCTGCATTTGCTGCTGCATCTGCTGCTGCTTCGGGGCCCTCTACGGTGGCTAGCTGCCCCTGGAGAGACTGCAGCAACTTTGCAACCCTTTCCCGCCGTGCTGCTGCTGCCGAGGCTCCCCCCTGCTGCTGCTGCTGCTGTTGCTGCTGCTGCTGCTGCTGCAGCACACCTAAGGCGCAGGTTGCTGCTGCCTTCTCAAGAGGCACGCCCGGGAGCAGCATACCCTGCGCTGCAGCAGCAGGCAGCTGCTGCTGCAGCAGGCCCTGCAGCAAACAGTTCGCCAGGCTCGCAAAGTCAAACAGCAGGGCATCTCCTTCCAGCAGCAGCAGCAGCCTCGGGCTGCTGCTGCTGCTCTTGCCAGCTGCAGCAGACCCCGGGGAATGGTGCGCCATTGAGTTGTCGGCAGCAGCAGCTGGGGCGCAGCAGCAGCAGCAGCAGCAGCAAAGACGAGTTCGCAGCAGCTCCCGCGTGGGCAGTCACCTAACTGGTGACGCCCTTGCTGTTTACGTCGGGTCTGCTGCTGCTGCTGTCGCTGCTGCTGCTGCTCTGAGGGCGCTGCTGCTGCTGCTGCTGCCGCTGCTGCTGCTGCCGCCGCCTTTACTGCTGTCTGCCGCAAATGCAAAACCAAAAGGAAACTCAACTTTAAAAAGCTTCTTCTGATTTTAATTTTGCTGCAGTTGAGGTGGCTGAGGTGTACGTACACCCCAAGCAGCCGCGCGCAAGACGAAGGCTGGGGGGCCGCAGAAGGCGGCGGGGGCAAAGGAGAGCCTGGAAGCACCGAAGTTAAAAAAAAGATGAAAAAAGAATTAAATGGAATTAAAAATATTTAAATTTGCGCTAATTTGCACGTCTGTCTCTGTACGTACACCCCAGAGGCTGCAGCGAAGGGCCTCGATGCTCTGCAGCGGCAGCCGAGAGGCCCCAGCCAACGGCTTGCTGCGGATTTGCAGGGTTTGCTGCTGTTCTTTGGTCCATTTTATCTTTTTCTGATTTATTTTATTGTTTATTATTCTTTTAGTTTTGTTTATTTAGTTGCTTCGGCCATTTAGCCGCGTTTGCTGCCAGAGACAGGCTCCCGCTGAGCACTGACGAGCCGCCGCAGCAGCAGCAGCAGCAAAGCACGGCCTCAGCAACAGCAGCAACTGCAGCAGCAACTGCAGCAGCAACTGCAGCAGCTGCAGCAGCAACTGCAGCAGCTGCAGCAGCAATTAACTGCAGCAGCAGCAGCAGCAGCAGCACTCGCCACCGCATGGCCCGCTCTCTCTGCCAAAGGGCTGCAGCCGAACTAAAAGACAAAAGTGCTGCAGCAGAACTGTCCATACACCCCAGTCTGTGCTGCGGTGTATGCGCATACACCGCAGCGCCGCAGCAGGCGCGCGCGGCCAACAGCAGCAGCAAAAGGAAAACAAAGAAAGCAAATAAAGATACAATTATTAAGTTGATTTGAAAAGGAAATAAAGATTTAATTGCCTAATTGTTTCTGCTTCCTTGCTTCTTCATTTATTTATTTGTGTCTTCGTCTTGGGCGACGAAAAAGGCGCTGCGGCGGCTGCGGGGTGTACAGACGCAGCAGCAGCAGCAGCAGCAAGGAGCAGCAAACTGCCCCCACGCATTCTTGCTGGGGTTTCCCTTTCTAATTCAATTCAATTGTTTTGCTTTTATTCTTTTGCTGCTTAATTAGAATTTTCAATCCTAGACTTTGCAGCTTTGCTGCTGCTTTCTTTCGGGGCTGCAGCTGCAGAGCGCCAGGCCCCGCGTTGCTGCTCTTGCTGCTGCTGCTCTTGCTGCTGCTGCTCTTGCTGCTGCAGCTCTGCTGTAGCCGTGCTGCAGCTCTGCTGCAGCCGCGCTGCTAGTGTTGCTGTTGCTGCTGTTGCAGCAATCAGCCTGGTCAGCAGCAGCCCTTCCGTGTCAAGGCCTGCTGCTCGAGCAGCAGCTGCTGCTGCTCTGCTGCTGCTAATGCGCCCTTTGTTGCTGTTTTAGCAACTGCTGCTGCTGCTGCTGCTGCTGCTGCTGTGAAGGAGCTATTATTTTAAGGAGTCAACGCTGCGCGGCCTGCCGGGGAGGTGTGGTGGCGAGCTTTGCTGCTGCCGAGTTGCTGCTGCTGCTGCTGCTGCTGCTGCCCCAGAGGCTGCTGCCTCTCGAGCTTAAGACTTTGCTGATGCGGTTTCCAACCCGCAGCACGCTGAGAGCGCTGCGGACGTTTTGCATGCCGCTGATGCTGCTGCTGCTGCTGCTCGTGCTGCTGCTGCTGGTCGTGCTGCTGCTGCTGCTGATGATGCTGCTCTTCGATAAGAAACCTTTGAGGCCATTCGAGTGCCGAGACGGCGGGGGCTGTGCCACAGATGCTGCAGCAGCAGCAGCGCAGCTCTTGCTGCTGCTGCTGCCGTTGCTCTTTGCCTGCTGCTGCAGAGTCCCCGAGCCGCGCCCCCTGCTGTTGCTGCTGCTGCTGCTGTTTGCTGCAGTGCTGGCAGCAGAAAGTGTGGGGCTGCTGAGGGCATGCAGAGGCAGCGACGGGGCCTCGTCTCCCGCGGGATACACTGGGGACGCTGACGTTGCTGCTACTGCTGTTGCTGCTGCCGTTGCTGCAGCGGTTGCTGCTGCTGTTGCTGCAGCTGCTGCTGTTGCTGCTGCTGCTCGGGCAGCTGCTGCTGCTGCTGCGCCTCCGCCCCCTGGCAGTTCGCCGAAGGCGGCAGCCCTGGAGATGGGGGGAGGCGCCGGGGGGCCCCCAAGGGCGGGAAGGGCCCCCAAGTTGTACACTTGCTGCTGCTGCTGCTGCTGCTGCTGCTGCTGCTGCTGCTGCTCTTTTGTGCGCGTGCTGTCGTTGCTTCCATAAGGGGTGCGGGCTGCTGAAGCATCAGTGCTTCGCTCGTCCTCTGAAGAGGTGCAGCAGCAGGCACATTTTTGCTTCTGCTGCGGCTGCTGCTGCTGCTGCCGGTGGTGCAGCAGCTGCTGCGCGTACTGCAGCGGCTTCTTGGGGATGTTGAAGGATGGGCGCCTAGGCTGCTGCGGCAGCAGCAGCTGCTCCTGCTGCTGCTTCTGCTGCTGCTGCTGCTCCCTGCTCACTTTGTGCTGCTGATGTTCGTACTTGAGGTGCTGGGGGTGTATCTCTGCCCAGGCATCTGCTGCAGCAGCTGCTGCACTGCGCTGCTGCTGGTGCTGCTGCAGCAGCTTCTGCTGCTGCTTCTGGAACTCCTTCATCCGCTGCTGCTGCAAGACGTGTGCCTTCTGCTGCATGAATCGGGAGAGCGCGAGCTGCTGCTGGTGTTTCTGCTGTTGTTGCTGCTGCTGCTGCTCGCGTCTTTGGATTTCTTGCTGCAGCCGCTTGGTTTCTGGGTCCAAGTGCTGCTGCTGCTGCTGCTGCTGCTGCTGCGGCTGCTGCTGCAGCGGCGGCAGCAAATTGTGCGCGTAAACCACGCTGGCGCTGCCCTTTGCTATAAAAGGATGCCTCAAAGCTTCCAAGACGGAGAGCCTTTTGGCTGGGTCTGGCTTGAGCAGCTGCAGCACGAAGTCGACAGCAGCAGCAGACAAGCGGCTGCCGTTCTTCTGCTGCAGCAGCCCGCACAGCTGCTGCTGCTGCTCCGAAGCCAGCATTGCCCAGCCCTCGTCAGAAGCCTGAGCCCTTCGAAACAGCTGCTGCTTCGTCAGGCAGTAGTAAAGCATCCAGCCCAGGCAGAAGCTGTCCACCTTGAAGGGGTCGTACCTGCAGCAGCAGCAGCAGCAGCAGCAGCAGCAGCAGCAGCAGCAACAGTGGAGGCGGCGGCGTCAGCGGCGACAGCAGGGCCGCGGCCGCGGCAGCAAGTGAAGCAGGAAATGCCCGCCCAGCGGCAGCGGCAACAGCAGCAGAAGCAGCAGCTGCAGCAGCAGTGAAGTCGTCACTAGCAGCAGCCTCATCAGCATCGCCGGCAGCAGCAGCAGCACCAGCTTGAGCAGCTCCAGCAGCACCAGCACCATCAGCAGCAGCAGCACAAGCAGTGCCGTCCAGCAGCAGCAAAAGCACGAGCAGCAGCACCAAAAAAGCCACACTAGAACTACCGTGACTCCAAGCAGCACCAGCACAAGCATGAGCAGCAGCAGCAGCAGCAGCAGCAGCCCAACGGCAGCAGCACAGCAGCACCACCACAAGCACAACAGCAGCAGCAGGGGCATCAGCCCAGCACCAGCAGCAGCCCCACCACCACGGCGACCACAACCACCACAACCACCACCAGCGCACCAGCAGCAGCAGCAGCAGCAGCAGCAGCAGCAGCAGCAGCAGCAGCTCACGGCTTGCGGGTGTAGACCTCCGGGGGCCTGAAGCTTTTGCCGAAGAGCTTGTTGGGGGGCAGCAGCACTTTGGGAGGGCTGAGGCGTTCTGCTGCTGCTTCGGGGGCCAGGGCTTTGGCCACAATGAGGCTGGTGTCTCTGATGGCTGCGGGTTTGAGGCCGTCGAGGCTGTCCTGCTGCTGCTGCTGCTGCTGCTGCTGCTGCTCTGCAGCAGCAAGCGCAGCAGCAGTGCGCGCAGGCAAAGCCACCACTGCCTGCCCAGGGTCTGTCAGGCAAGGCACGATGGCCCCCGTTTGTTCGCAGCGGAATATCAGCACGTTTTCCAGCGACAAGTCTGAGCGGAAAAACCAAGGGTTTAGGGTTTAGGGTTTAGGGTTTAGCGTTTAGGGTTTGGGGTTTGGGGTTTGGGGCCCAACGCTGCTGCATTGTGAACCCCGCGAAATGCATGCAAGGTGCTACATTAGGGCTTAGGGTTTAGGGTTTGGCGTTTAGAGGGCAGGGCCAGCGGCTAGGGTTGAGGGTTTAGGGTTTAGGGTTTAGGGTTTAGGGTTTAGGGCTGCGGACCCCTCATTGCGACTCCCCGCCTGTGCAGGAACAGCACTGCGTCCAACAGCTGACGGCCTATCCAGCGCACCTGAGGAAAAACACCCCAAACCCTAAACCCTAAAGCCTAAAGCCTAAACCCTAAACCCTAAACCCTAGAGTCTAGGGAGCGTTGGGCTCCACTGCCAGCGTCTACCGCCTCCCCTCTGGTGCAGCAGAAGCAGGGGGTCAATGGCCTCTAGGGCTACCAAATCCCCCAGCAGCAGCAGCAGCAACCGCAGCAGCAACCGCAGCAGCAACCGCAGCAGCAGCAGCCCCAACAGCAGCAAGTAACGGCAGCAGCAGCAATCGCAGCAGTAGCAGCAGCCACAACGACAGCCACAGCAGCAGCAGCGGCAGCATCAAGGACAGCGCCAGCGGCAATCGCAGCAGCAGCAACAGCAAGCAGCAGCAGTAGCAGCAGCAGCAGCAGCAGTAGCAGCAGCAGCAGCAGCAGCAGTAGCAGCAGCAGCAGCAGCAGCAGCAGCAGCAGCAGAAGCAGCGCGCGCCTACCTCGGCCTCCTTGAAGGCCTCCCTCCTTCTCTTGAGGACTTCGAAAAGGTCTTCGAACTCCGCGAGAGGAAACAGCAGCAGCAGCAGCTGCTGCTGCAGGTCCACGTACACCCGAGAAGGTGTCACAATGTTGGGGTG